GAATGATAATTTACATACAGCTTTACACCTACCATATCTATGTCAGCACACTTATAATTTAGTTTTAACAATAGGCACTTATAGGTTCCCTTCACTGCCACTAATACACCTCTATACCACGCTCATTCTCACATCTGTTTCGAATCTTGAAAACAACAAAATTATCTGGAAAAAGTTCACTATTGTATACAGTATCCGAAAGCCAGGTTTCTGTTAAGGTCGGGTCGTACTCGTTCTCAGTCAATTGTACTGCATGACAAAAATCCTTGGTCTTGCTGTTCAGGTCTTGTACATTTTGTTAAGCTATACTAAATTCTAAGTCAGTTCCTGTATCGTTATTCACACTCACGTTCATTTTCTCACCGTCTTGGCCACTGTCGTACCCATCAATGTTGTTATCCCTTATAAAAAAAACTCTGGTGTAATTGGTATAGTTCTGTAGCCTCTGAATTCGTTGTACATAAATTGGACAATTGAGATCACGAGCTGAATGATTTCTTTTGCAATTGGGACAGTCATATTTAGTAAAACTACATTCTTGGGATCTAAGGGGATATCCACACTTGCGGCAACATTCGGTGGCTGCAGGAGAAGTTTGATAAACCAAATTTTCTTTCATGTTATTTCTACATTCCCTTTTAGTAATAAATTTGAATGATTTTTCAACATCTACACCAAACAATTGAGTCATATTATTTTCACTGACAAATTCCTTGATAAAGTTCTCAGTTACTCAGATAACCTCATCTCACTTCATCTCAAAATGATACGAGACGAATCATAGGAAGAACATGCCTATTATTGACAAAAACCCATTCATACAGAAATAATTATTAAGTGCCTTAATTTGGAAAAATGTTTGGTAAATAAAACTCAATCCTACTATAGTTTATTTATTTATTCAAAACTTTACAAACACTATAGGGTATTTTTTCTCAAGATAGATTTTGATAATGACAACTTTGAAACATAAACAATGTCGTTTATTGGTCATAAGATGCCGTGTACCTACCTGTACTCGGTATTGTTTTCCAACCCTGTGAAAGGACCTCACCTGCACGGCATTTTGCAACCAATAAGGACCAAGCGGTATTGTTTATGTTTCAAAGTTGACAATGTCAAAATCTATCCACTAGTTTAGGTGGATTATTACATGTAAAGTACACTTACAAACTAGGTACTTGAAACTAGCGAAAAAAAGATTCCAGTAAAAAACTGTCTTCAGGTACTAGGCCTTCTGTTCTAAACAAACAAGATCAGAAAACATGGGCAAGATAACTAAACAGACACTGTTTATTAGTGGACTATTGAACATGACATTGTCATTCTTTAAAAGAAATTCCTTACAAATATGTACCTAGGATGTTATTTATATAGGAGATATACTTCTCCACCTATGTGCAAAGACGTTCTTATTTAGAATTCGCAGATTCACATTTGGTACTTTTAATTTAATAAATTCTATGAGATTGAACTCTTTGTACTTTATATTATTTAGAACAGAATAAATAAATATAACAGCCTGTGCTCTTTTTCTACTCTCCAATGTTTGGAATCCGTAGCCTTCAAACATTGACCTATAAGGTACCAAAAAAGGATAAACATTATTTTGTTCCACATACATGAATCTTAAGAACCTTTCCAATCAGGTCGCTGCCTACAACGGTACAGGTAACATATTCCAAGTGTGGGCGTACAAGACGATTGTGGCGATCTCAAAATTTTATCCATTATGTATAACAAAATCCAGTGTTGTAAATGCCCTATTTACGCAGCATTGATAATGGTTGTTAAATTGTAAGTTATTTTCCTGAAACCTAACTCCCAAGTTTGTTGTTTAGAATTTCTTCTCCAGAACCGATTTACTAATATGATAATCAGCTGATACAAGAGATAACTTTCTAGTTTAAGATAATAGTAATAGTTATTTTCCTTAATGCTTATTCGAACTCCGCTTCGCGTCATTCGTCTAACTGCTTTTTCGTGCGGGAAAGTATCACTTTGCGCAAGTGTTAGGAACAATACTTTTTCCACGATTGTCTTAGAAAAGTTGAATTTGATTTGTTAAGATAGTAAAACCCCAGTAAAACAATCAGTCTAGCAAACACTTTTACTCTACCTCCTCCCTTTTTTCTGCATGTTTATCTCAAAAAACTTAAGCAATGGCATATGCACATGTTTCATGCATAATATGACCAATTACCACAAAATCTCCAAAAATTGCTTAAAATCCATTGGAATTCCTCAGAATCTCTTCCAAATTAAATCCCCAAAAATCTTTCAACATTTTCTGGAATTTCTAGAATATTTTTATGAAATTCTCGAGGAAATTCTTTTAAATCCCCAATATTTTACAAATTCCTAGTAGTACAAAGTGGTCGAATTTGGACACTTTCAATAGTCACATAAACTAAGCACTAAATTCAGCTCTGAAACCCGTTCTTCCAAATATGTCTGTAACAAAACGGTGTCGTTGCGATCTGAAGAGTATTTAACCACCTGAGTAAGTGAGTTAATAAATAAATAAAGAAAATAGGCCCCAGGTTACTTCCCTGGGATACTCCAGATGTAATAAATTGCTTCGGAAATTGTTTGCCAACCTTAACAAAGTTTGGCCTAATAAGCAGGTACGATTTTTGAAATTTATGTAGTGACCACAAATTGACAAATATTAATCAAAAATTTAGGATTATTCCAAGGAATTATTTATAAAGAATTTTACAAGGTACCAACCTCGGTACCAACAATAAGCTAAATTATTAAAATAATTTTCGTATTCCAGGCTCTTGAATTTGTTTTAAATGTTCATAATTTAGTAGTTTGCAATAGACAACACGAGGGGTAAACCACCTTGAAAATATGTACATCAGAATCCCACGAAATCCTACTGAAATTCCACTGAAAATGAATGAAATTTTAAAATGATGAGTAAAAAGTACTTCACATCACTGTTCCGCAGCCATTAACTCATTAATGAGTCGTTCTCATATATAAAAATGAGAAGTTTTTCAACTGATGAGTAAAAATTCTGAACTGAAAATTAGTGAGTCTTTGAATTATTGAGTTAATGCACACAAAAATGATTAAATTCTGCAAAAATCAATTGTGCAAAGTACTTCTAATGATCACAGTCACTTGAAACGTTTAGCATTTATGAATTGAAGTCTCCTCTTTGTGGAAAAGTGAATTTGAAGTTGATTTGAAGCTACAAAGTAAATTTAGAAGCTTTTTCTTATGTTAATACATGCAAAAATGATTAAACTCTGCAAAATTCACTTGGGCAAAATACTTCTAATGATCACAGTAACTTGAAATTTTCAGGATTTATGAATTGAAGTTTCCTCTTTGTGGAAAAGTTGATTTAAAGCTCCAAACTAAATTTGGTAGCTTTTTCTTACGTTAATGCATGCAAAAATGATTAAAATCTGCAAAAATAACTTGTGCAAGATACTTCCAATGATCATAGTAGCTTGAAACTTTCAGGATTTATGGATTGAAACTTCCTCTTTATGGAGACGTTAACTTGAAGCTGCAAAGTAAATTTGGAAGTTTTTCCTTACATTAATGTATGCAAAAATGATTAAAATCTGCAAAAATTACTTGTGAAAAATACTCCCAATGATCACAGTGACTTGAAACTTTTAGGATTCATGGATTGAAGTTTCCTCTTTGTGGAAACGTTAATTTGAAGTTGATTTGAAGCTCCAAACTAAATTTGGAAGCTTTCTCTTACGTTAATGCACGCAAAAATGATTAATATCTGCAAAAATCACTTGTGCAATGTACTTCTAATAATCACAGTGACTTGAAACTTTCAGGATTTATGGATTGAAGTTTCCTCTTTGTGGAAAAGTTAATTTGAAGTTGATTTAAAGCTCCAAACTAAATTTGGTAGCTTTTTTTTAAGTTAATGCATGCAAAAAATTATTAAATTCTGCAAAAATCACTTGTGCAAAGTACTTCTAATGATCATAGTTACTTGATACTCTCAGGATTTATGAATTGAATTTTCTTCTTTGTGGAAAAGTTGATTTAAAGCTCCAAACTAAATTTGGTAGCTTTTTCTTACGTTAATGCATGCAAAAATGATTGAATTCTGCAAAAATCACTTGTGCAAAGTACTTCTAATGATCATAGTTACTTGAAACTTTCAGGATTTATGAATTGAATTTTTTTCTTTGTGGAAAAATTAATTTAAAGTTGATTTGAAGCTTCAAACTAAATTTGGAAGCTTTTTCTCACGTTCATGCATGCAAAAATGATTAAAATCTGCAAAAATCACTTATGCAAAGTACTTCTAATGATCATAGTAAGTTGAAATTTTCAGGATTTATGGACTGAAGTTTCCTTTTTGTGGAAAAGTTAATTTGCAGTTGATTTGAAGCTTTTGAAATTAGTGAGTTACCCCTTGAGCATATCATGGAATCTGATATTTGAAATACTCAAAAACTCTTATGTTTGTCATCTAAGCTGCATTTTTCCTCTAAATTTGAGGAAATCAAAATAACTATAAATAAGATGAGCTTATAGAATCTAAAATTAACTTGAAGATTTCATTTTTAGAATCTTCAAAATCTTGTCTATTTAAAATACATATGACTTTGCTTTGAATCCGAGATAACTGGAAATTCATATAAGCAAATCACAGAATCTGAAAATAAATTCTAAGTAAACTTAAGTGAAGGATTAATATCAATACTTAAATAAATAGAAAATTTTACCTGGTAAAAACAATAAGCTAAATTATTAAAGTAATTTTCATATTCCAGGCTTTTGAATTTGTTTTGGATGTTCATAATTTATATAAATAGGCTAAAATGGGTTCCATAATAAGCTCTTATAGTGTTGGTCGTATACATAATTATATTCAAATATCCTGTGAAAATATTACCTCTCAAAACCGTGCTGACAATTTAGCATACAAATCAACTACATCCAAAAACTTCCCAATTATAACCTAACAAGTTTTTCTTGTATATTTCTTACCCAGATATATAAAAATGGCCAGCCGACCAGCTAACAACATTATCGGCAGAAGGGGGGTCCTAGGTGATTTGGGCAACACCCTACACACCCTCAACCACGACCCCACCGCCAATCTAAAAAGAAACGTTTTGGAACCATCGAGAATTGGGGTCCATCAAAAAGATGCTGCAAAGAAAACCGTGACTGATTTGACCAAGAAAATTGTACCAGCTGCCAGCAAGGTAAGAACCAAAGCTCTACCTGTAAATAGTTTTATTAAATATTTCCTTTAGGAAAACAATCTGAAAATTAACAAAGAAAACGCAGCAGCCGTAAAAATCCCTTGTCGAAAACCCATCAGACAAGAGAGCTTAGTTTATCCCAAAAACAAAACTCTTGCCGCAGAGAAACCCATCAACAAAACCCTCATTCCAACTTCTACTAGAAACACTTCTCTGGTACAACCGGCGAAAGCCAGTTTGGCTCAGCCCAAAACCAACTTATTGGCTATTTACGATCCAGATGAAAAATCAAAAGGCGATCCCTTATTGGTCACCGAATATGTACAAGATATTATGGCACATTTGAGGAGCCTGGAAGATCAATTTCCAATTGCAGAGAAATTTTTGGAACACTCCAAAGTTTCACCCAAGATGCGCACCATTGTCGTCAACTGGTTAGTTGACGTGCACAAGAACTTTTCCATGGGATTGGAAACTTTGTATTTGTCTATTTCAATTTTAGACAGATATTTACAGGTAATGTGTTTTTTTTTTTAAATTTCAAGCCAAAAAATATTATTCCATTATAGGTCAACCAGGCTGTAGATCGTAATATACTTCAGCTAGTAGGAACATCGGCTCTATTATTAGCAGGAAAATATGAAGAAGTCTACATTCCAGATCTCACTGACTTTGTCTACATCTGCGATGATGCTTTTACTAAAAAACAAATCCTGCAAATGGAAATGGATATATGCAAAAAGTTGGGCTTCAGAATGGGATGGCCAATCGCCACCTATTTTCTAAGACGTTACAGTAAAGTAGCCAATGCTAGACACGACCATCACAATTTGGCCAAATACATTTTGGAGGCCGCCCTATTGGAATACCATTTGGCACATGTTAAGCCTTCTATTCAAGCGGCGGCAGCCTCTTGCTTGGCCTTGGCCATAATAAATGAGGCCATGAATCCGGAAAAACTTTGGACCCCATCTCTGGTGCATTATTCCAAATATAAATATTCAGATTTCAAGCATATTGTGCACGAATTCGCTCGCATGATTTCCAAAGCTGACACTTGCAAGTATGACTCTGTGAGACTGAAATATTCAACTTCCAAGTTTGGGAAAGTCAGTTTGAGTTGTAAACTTGAGGGACCTTTGATAAGGAAACTGTCATCGGCCAAATGAATTTGAGAGAGATTTTCTGACAATAACGACTTCTAGTGGGTAGATTTTATTATTATTTTTATTAGTTATCTTATTAGTTTATACAATAATATATTATGTATTTTGGTTTTTTATTACTTGTAAATTTGTTTTAGAGCTATGACAATGATTTTGTGTGTGTATATTATTATTATTATTACTAATTGTCAAAAATAAATAAATTGGCTTTACTCTTAACTCAATATTTAACCAATTAAAAGATGTAATTTTTTTTATAGGTTTTTTATTTTGATTGACAAAGGAAACGGTTTATAAACAGGAAATTGTTGTCCATATTTCCACTTAAGACTCAAAAGCCCATAAAATCCAAAACACTCAAGTTTATTATTATGTGATTATATCATGAAGTATAAATACACAGCTGTAACAATTATTTTGTTGTCTTATCTAAAGCCGCGTATAGACCGAATTTCCAACCTTAGCCAAAGGCACATGTGAACTATGTTGGTTTTGGTGTGGATGATGTTCTCAAATTCTTTTCAATGCTTCCCAATGCCAATGACAGGTGTACGTTGGAAATTCGGTCTGTACGCAGCTTAACAGAAAAGTGATTTTGCATTTGATCTAGTAACAAGTATAAAGTAGCCAAAAAAAAAACAAAATTGAAAAGTAACTTTCTGTGAAAGCGCTTATACAACTATTTTTGTTAAATTAAAGGAAAAGTTGGTAGGGACATGACCTCCATGAACATAACCCAACAATGAATATAGGTTTGATAAAAAAGCTATATATTATTTTCTGTAGTGATAAGCAAAATGCCAAGGGCAACAAAACAAATAAGGTAAAAAATAATATAGAAATCTAAAAAATATATTCAAGAATAAGTGCAAAGGTAGTAGTTTCATGTAGGAATTTTTTTCCCCAATTAATAACCACTCAAATGATAGTGCAATTTAATAAATAAACATCTTATCTCAAGTACCCATCCATTTATAAAAGAAGAAAATATTATCAGTAGAGGTTTAAAGCTCATTCCAATAAAAAAAAAAAGATGGGTGGTCGAGCAACATTTTTCATTATCTTCACAATAATTTGGGCCCATGCTGAAGCCTGGAGATATATCCTTAATGGAAGAATTAAAGGAGGCAATTTGGGGGCTCCGCGTCCCAATATAGTGACAAAAGAACCGAGAAACTTCACAAGATGGTTTACACAAAAATTGGATCATTTTGATGTTGGCAATACCAACACTTGGCAACAGGTAAATAATATGTATTGAGTGTGTTTTCAAAGATCTTCTATAGAATAAGTCAATTGATTTAACTGCTAAGGGCCAAATTATGGACCAACTGGTAAGTGGTCTGGTTGTTACCTAGGTAATTTTTATTCTCTAGTGCATAGAAAGTACCTGCTAGGTAACAACCAGACGTTTACCAGTTAGTTCATAATTTGGCCCTGAAGGCACCTACCTTATGATTTAGATTTTGGAAAACTTTGAAAGGTCATAACTTTTTTTCTATTATAGACTCAATTTTATCCCAATCAAGGGAATACAATCCCTGAAAATTTCAGCTCATTTGCACTTATAGTTCCTGAAATAAAATCGTGTTAAGCAATTTGGGGTGATTTATCAAGTTTTCTGAGTGCCTTCTTTCATAAATGTCGGCTTCAAATCTGAGAATAATTTAGTGTTTGGAGTTTGGGGGATGTTGATTGACCATTATGATACAAAATCTCGACAAATTTGAAATTTCATCGTTTTAGTAAGAAGACGAGATATACTATTTAAATTATCAGGGTTCTCTCGAGCTTATCTTCAAATTCTTCTAAAACTCGGCAGACAATTGTTTTACCTTAGGAGAGCTCAAATCAATGACTCCTCAATATCAGTAGATTAAAGTATATCAAATTTGCTATTGAAGAATTTTGTCCTATGATAGTTATCTCAGGTTATCTCTATGCTGTATATTGTCAGGGCTCTCTCTTAAGTCACAAGAGAATTGTTTCAACTTATAAGAAAGGGCTCAAATATCAAAATTAAGTATGCTTTTCTAGACCTTTCTAAGCCATCAGATGCAACAATAAGTAAAGAAGTTCTCCTCAAAATCAGAATATCTCAAGTTTGCTATTAAAGAATTTTCTCCTATGATAGTTATCTGTTATCTATATGTTGTATTTTATCAATAAGTTCTTTCATAAGCTGGCATATCTTCAAAATCTTCTAGAAGTCCCAAGGCAATTTTGCTTTAACAAAACAGAGCTGAACAGGGAGATTAACATCACCCTTACCCAGATGGCACAAACATATTGCAGGAATATTCATGGCATATTTCATAGGAATATAAAGATATCCCACGCATATGCCATACAGATCTATTCATGTGACAGGGATATCCCAGGCATATGCTTAAGTTACCATAAAACATATCCCTGCAATATGCCACATATGATAATTGCATATTGAAATATGCAATTAATATGAAATATCCCCTAAAGAATGTTTGATGAATATTTCATGCATATTCATTAGATATTCACAGAAAAACCTCCTTGGTGTATCCCTTCAAAACTGACGCCCCGACCATATCCACAGATATGCAAAAGCGTGACGAGCTGAAAGTAACCATATTACTTTCCTGATGTTTGCATAAAATTTTGTAAAAATAATCTTCCTTTCGCATATTCAAGGAACATGCAAACATGATATACACGACATATCCTATAACTACCTGGAATATGCCAAATTAATACAGAAATATTACGAATATAAATATGACTCGGAAAATTGGCAGATTGTAGGCATATACCAGCAATAGTGGGTGCCGGCTGGGTAAGGACTTTTTTCAGTAATCTTGTTTTGGAGAGATTCCAATGGTAGGTATACATTTGACGTTGTTATGCGTCTCCCCAGGCTGTAATACCATAGTTACATATAGGTATTATGAAAAAAAAACATAATAGACATTCAACGGCGATTTTGGATGCATTAGCTCAGGCAACTTTGTGAAAATAAATAATAAATATTTAGTCCTCTTGACATAACATATTCAATGTGAATTTCCCATCTTACTCTATGATCAATGTAAATACCTAAGTGGGTATTTACAACTCTCTACTCTCTGTCACAGGCTGATTGCAGTAATTTGACAATTTAACAGTCTGTTTTCTGTCTGACAACTTTCAAACAACTTCAAAGCCACTCCCCTTATACCATAGTTATTCAATTCCTCCAATAGTAAAATGATGATTTAGTATATCAAAGGCTTTAGCAAGATCCAAGAAAGTTGCAAGTATAGTGACTCCATTGAAATAAGGCAAATATTTAGCTTCTAGATAATTATTTAATAAATCCTGATTAATGGTTACTGTTTTCAATAAATCTATATTAAAATCGCCCAGTATACAATCATTTTTGATATTCCTATACTCTTGTCTATAAAGCCTTTCAATGCATTCACAGAAGAATGTTTATCACATGACATCTGTATACTGTCCATATTTTTATTGAGGATCTGTCACACAAGAAGCAATGGTGGAACTTAAAATGCGTGGCTGATCAAAATCCTCCACTTCTGTGGGCTCTACTAAACCTATATTTTATATGCACAACCACACCATCAGCCTTGTTTTTTAGACTATTATTGTAATATAGGTACTTTATAGTTACTTAAATCAAAATACTGTACATACGGAATATTCCAAGCTTCAGAACTAGCGATTACTTCTGGTTCAATATCCAGGCTATTAACATAGACTTCCAGGCTCTCAAAATTTGCATTCAGGTTTCTAACATTTACATGTAGGATTGTGAAGTTCCCAGTATTCAATAGTTCCATTGATACTTTTTACGTATCTTCCACTGGCTCAAATACATCCAAAAAGTTTTCCAAATCAATTTATTCAATATCAAATTTGCTATTGAAGAATGATAGAATGTCATCTCTATATTTCCAGAGATATTTCGTAAATGATGATTATATTGATCAAACCAAACGAAATGTCGCTTTTCTACAAATCGGTGGAGAAGGTGAAGCCTCAGATATATGGATGACAAACGGCGCCTGGGTAGATGATGGCAAAAAATTCAATGCTATCTTATTTCAGGTACTTAAAATTCTACTTAAATGTAATTCAATATTAAATTTTAATGATAAATCCAGCTAGAACATCGTTTCTATGGTAAAAGTCATCCCACAGAAGACTTGAGCGTGGACAATTTGAAATATTTGACCAGTCAACAAGCTTTGGCCGATTTAGCAGTATTCGTCGATGCCATGAATGAAGAATATAACTTATCACCAATGGTAATAAGTAAACCTTATATGCAATGAAACAATAAAAATTTTGAACCTATTTAGGTAAAATGGATTGCTTTTGGAGGTTCCTACCCTGGATCGTTGGCTGCATGGGCCAGACTGAAATACCCTCACCTAATTCACGGTTCAGTTAGCAGCAGTGGTCCACTTCTTGCAATTCCAGATTTTCAAGGTACCTACAAAAAAATGTTATTCACTAACTAACAAATTTTTGTAGATTACTATCAAGTTGTAGCCAATGATCTGCGTACGGTTGATGAAAATTGCTACAGCGCAGTTAAAAGTGGAACTGCTCAAGTGGAGGACCTTTTGCAACATAAAGTAGGCCAAAGGACTTTAACTTCTTTATTTAATTTGTGCGATCCTTTAGAAGAAAGCATTGACAATGATAATGATATTGCTAATTTTTATACGAATTTGGCAGGAAATTTTGCAGGTGAATTATTCAAGTATACTAAAATTTGCCTCACTTATAGTTTAATGTATTTATATAGGAATTGCTCAGTATAACAAAGATAACAGGCTCAGTACAAAAGGCACTTTATTAGGAAACATAACTTTAGATACATTTTGCGCCATTATGACTGAAACCACACAAACTAGAGAAATTACAAGATTGGCGGCTGTTAATGCTTTAATGCTCAATGCCACCAATCAAACTTGCATGGATTTTAAATATTCAAAAATGATTGCAGAGATGAGCAATGTTAGTTGGGAAGCTTCAGCTTCAGAAGGAGGTATATTATTGTCTTAAAAATTAAAATAAATTAAATAATCTGGTTTTTAGGTCGTCAATGGACATTTCAGACTTGTAACGAATTCGGGTTTTATCAAACCTCGAACAAAAAGCCACAAATATTTGGAGATAAATTTCCACTTTCGTTTTCTATACAGCAATGTATTGACCTTTTTGGATCGAAATTCAACGAGAGTTATTTAAACTATGCTACTGATAGAACTAATACTTTATATGGGGCATTAGATATTGAAGTAAGACAAAAAATGACTATTTTCTTTAATTAATATTTGTTTCTTTTTAGGTCAGTAACGTTGTTTTTGTGCATGGCTCTGTAGATCCCTGGCACGCCTTGGGGATTATTTGGACAGATGAACAAAATGCACCAGCAATTTATATCAAGGGTATAATTATAAATTTAGGAATTGTTCTTGTTTTAAGTTTGGCTATTTTAGGAACTGCTCATTGTGCCAATATGTATCCAGCTTCCGATGACGATTTACCTCAGCTGAAAGCTGCTAGAGTGCAAATTAGTCAACTTATTGAATCTTGGTTGGATCTTTGAAGTTTCTTATTAGTTTTATTTGATTTGTAACTCTGTTATTTTATTGGCTAAAATATATTGTGATTTTTTTCATATTTTTCAATATTAAAGTGAAGTAAATATAGGTCAATGTCTAGCAAGCAATATGCAGTAACTATTATTAGATTTTTATTTAGTAATACTCTGTGGTAATACATGTTATTTTCCAATATCAGCAAGTAGATGGAGTTGATTGATATTACAAGAACAGAGGCAATATCAATCAACCAAAACAGTTCCTTTCAAAACTACTCCATAGTCTGAATGACTGCCACCTGGTCCAAAATGTTTTTCGTATTGCCCACTCACTCCAACATCTGCGTTTTTGGTATTTACAATGTTCCATGTTCCAGTTGCTCTGACATCAGTACCTATATATAATATAATGACTTTTATTATTATATTTCAGTGGAGGAAAAATGTATCTTTACCTGCCCTTCGTATGTGATCAGCTCCTACTCCAACTCCAGATCCAGATTGTTTATGAGAATAATCAACTTGTGCCCCGTATACGTCAGGCTTCAAAAAAGCTCCGCCGCTTGTGAAATCTTTTGAAGCGTATCCAGTTCCCGTAAGCAAATTGTTTTGGTTATCCAGGATGGTTCCTGTGTGAGATACGGTTCCTATGCCTGGACTTCTAAAGCCGTAACTAGTTTGTTGTCTGATGGAAAAAATAACAAATGAATCTTAGAAAATAGGAAATTAATTAATTAATTACCTGCGTATTTTTCTTAGTTTTTCTGGTATTATTGGGTCATCTTCGAAATCATCTACAGGAGCGGCTGAAACGTAGAATAAGGAAGCTACAAGTGCTAAAACAATGGGATACTTCATTATGATGGTAATTGTTTGGTACTATAGTATTCATTTTTAAACTCCTGCTTTTTATATTTGATAAAGGCGGGTATTTTCTTAGGCTGATAAACTCGGCTTGTGAAAAGGGGAATTACTAATCTTAAAAAGGTTAAGTGTCTATTAAATTGATGACCTTTCACAATACAAGAATTGTTTCGGGGTTTTTTACACTGTGGGGAATTTTATATTTGATAAGGCCCTTCAAATATTTTCTAAATTCTAATAAATTAGAAAATTGTAGGTTTGCTAGAATGTCTCAAAATCACCGAAAAAAGGTCATGTTTCAAGAAGTTTTTTCTCTACAGAATTTGTTTATGGAACTCCTTGTTTCAGGTTTGAATTGTTAATGAAGCCTAAATAGTTTAATGATTTTGGGAAGTTCTCTATGTAGTGGAAAATTCAGCTATAGGAGAGCCGGGAATAGGATTTTTACGCTTCTCTACTAGTAGCACAATTTAAGGAAAACATGTTCAATCTTTCAGACTAAAGGCACCTACCTTATGATTTAGATTTTGGAAAACTTTGAAAGATCATAACTTTTTTTCTATTATAGATAGAAACCTGAAACTTTCACTGAATTTTATACTTTGGATGGGCATAACTTTTTTTCTATCATAGATAGAAAGCTGAAATTTTCACTGGAATTTATCTCAATGAAAGGACTACCCTTAGTTCCTGAGATAAAATCGTGTTAAGCATTTTGGGGTGATTTATCAATTTTTCAATTTTTCTGAGTGCCTTTTTTCATAGATTTCGGCTTCAAATCTAAGAAAAATTTAATGTATGGAGTTTGGGGGATGTTGATTGACCATTAGGATACAAAATCTCAACAAAAAAAAATTTGAAATTTCATCGTTTTAGTGAGAAGGTATAGGAGAGCTGGGAATAGGATTTTTACGCTTCTTTAGTTGAACAATTTAAGAAAAAAATCTTGGATCTTTGAGAGAATAATGGCACCAAAATCAAATATAAAATGTCTGGTCCTGTCCAGCAAGAAACAGTCGATTATCGCAGACAATTTCCAGGAACAGATACATCATCCCATAGTTCAGCATTGATATCCAGTAGGTAAGCAGATTGTCTTTCTAGAAACCCTGTAGGAAACCAAGTTCAGATTGAAACACTCATCAGTAGTATGATGAAAGATTTTCACTTCTTACTATAACTAGTCAGTGTGGACGAAAGACTTCCAGAGACAAAAATCAAGTTGGCAATAATAATTGCTTTCCAAGGTTTAAAAGAGTATTTGATGCTTAATGCAGAATTTTCTTGAATTATTGCTTCATCTTCACTCTGGAAGTTACGTTTGCAGTGATTAAAGTTTGAGAAGAGGAATTTATAGGTAGTTGCCAGAGACAATAAATACTTTTGAACCATAAGCTTATAAGGCCAACTTGTATTTACTTTTGCTGCACTTATGCATCTAGAAACTTCAAGAGCTGGAAATGGCTACAAGTAAAAGATCTTGTTGAGAACCAAATACATATCCAACTTCCAAAAGAAATTGCTTTCAATGCCTAAACTAGAATAATACTTCCATTTTCACTTTAGAAGCTGGGATTTGAATGATTTGAGAGCTTTCGACAAGAATGTTTGTCTCTACCAAAACTTCTGGACATTTTTCGTAGGATATTATTGATATTAAGTAAATTTGTTTCTAAATTAATAAATTTTATTTTAAAAACTTTAGTACATTATTAAAACCGATAAGTTCCTTTTAAAAACACCCCATAGTCAGGCCGACTACCTCCTGCTCCAAAATGCCTTCCGTATTGTCCATTCAAACCCACTTCAGCGTTTTTGGTATTCACAAAATTCCATGTGCCAGAAGCTCTTACATCAGTACCTATAATAAAACCAAAATGTTAATATTATGATTATTTGGTTGTAGAAAAATTATCTTACCTGCTCTTCGTACGTGATCAGCTCCTAATCCAAGAACAGATCCAGAAGGCTTATGGGAATAATCCACTTGTGCTCCATAAGCGTCAGGTTTCAATCCGCCCCTTGTGAAGTCTTTTGAAGCATATCCAGTTCCAGTAAGCAAATGGTTTTGATTGTCCACAATAGTGCCTGTGTGAGACAGTGTTCCGATGCCTGGATTTTTTAGATCGAAACTGGTGGCTTGTTGCCTGGAATTATCACAATTAAATAGAAATCAATTTTAAAATAAATACCTATTTACCTTTTATGTCTTTGTAATGGTAATAAGGGCGATGCTGAGACATACAATAGTGCGGAAATTATTAATGCAAAAACAATGAGGCACTTCATTGTAGTAGGTTTTATTTATGAATTATATAATCGCAGTTGTTTGCTATGTAAAGTTAGGATTTGAAATGCATCATCTTGAAGCTCATGCTTCTTATATTTTGATATTGCAATGATTAACACGGTATTTTTTTGAGCTGATGTGAAAAGGGGAATTACTTTTTAATCTCTTGACCGGGTTAAGAATCTGTTAAGTTGATGACCTTTTTCAATAAATACAAGAATTGTTTTAGTATTTTTTACATTTGATTGTTGAGTGGAATTTTGGAATTATTATTTTAAAAATTACAATTCCATTTATGCCTCAAGAAAAAATTTAAGAGGAGGACTGAGAATTACAAAATATGTGATAACTACAGAACGCATCATCAGATACCATGAGTTACATGCAAGATTCTTAAGCTGCCGTCACTTGACCGAAAATGATGAAATTGGATGACAATGGTAGAAGCGGCACAAAAAGTTACCCTGATAAACTTTGCCCATAACGCGTATGGAAGTTATTAGGTACCTAGGTAAAACGTCGTGGGACACCCTGTATAATTAAATATTGAACTTTTTGAAAATGTAATAAGTGATCTCCATATAACGATCTCCATCTTTTTCTTGCTTCTGAGCCTTATGATTTAGATTTTGGAAAACTGAAAGGTCATAACTTTTTTTCTATTATAGATAGAAAGCTGCAACTTTCACTGAATTTTATCCCAACCCTTTTTTCCACACTGAATAAATTCATAGTAAAAAGTAAAAATCTTTCATTATACCTACTGTATAATTTTTCTATCTGATCTTTGTCTTCTACAGGTTTTCTGGAAAGAAAATCTGCTACCTAACTATCAAACTATTAATGCAAAACCAACGAGGAAATTCATTGTGGGTGTATTTAAATTATACACTTATTGGGCTAAGATTTGAAATGCATCTGGCTCAATTCGCAATATTTTAGACACCAGTTGTATAAGTTATTATTATTATTATTATTATTATTAGTTACAACAGTAAACGGTTATGACCGATGAAACTGTTGTCATAATTTCCGTGGTTCTTTTTTGGCTTTTCAAAATATTCAGCTTGTTCATTTACAGTCCGAAGTGAATGTTCACACTAGTCAGCACTTCCCGTTGATTATCTAGTCTGTTTTTGAATGAGTTAATACTTGGAGCGCTCACAGTGTTTTCCGATAATGCATTCCAATGATAGACAATTCTATTTGTCAAAAAGTTTTTACGGGGTAGTTTTGCGTTCTTCTCTTTTTCCAGTTTTTTGCTGTGTCCTCGAAGGTGTATGTTTGCATTCGCATGGAAGATATTAAGAGTAGCATTATAATATGGTTTTAAAATTTTCTGGGTCTCAATAAGATCTCCTCTTAAACGCCTTTCTCGTAGAGGTGTCAATTTAAGTCTTTGTAGTCTTGTAGTATAGTCCAACTGTGATAATTCTGGTGGTATTCTTGTTACACGTCTTTGAACTTTTTCTAATAGCTCGATGTCCTTTACAAAGTAAGGGTTCCATATTGTTTCGCCATATTCTAGTTTTGGCCTAATATAAGTTTTATATAGTTTCAATATGGTGTCCATTGAGTGGTCTGAAACTGCTTTTTGGATGCAATAAATGAACGAGTTTGCTTTTTTCACTATCCTATGAATGTGTGGTTCCCATTTGAGGTCTGCGCTGATGATGACGCCTAAATCACTCTGTTGATCGACGTTATTTAGATTGGTACCATTTAGTGAATAGGGTATAATTGTGTTGTTTATTCCAATACTGAGTACTGTGCACTTCTCTTCGTTTAGTTTCATGCTCCAGGTTTTTGCCCATTGTTCTATTCTATATGAAGATCTTCTTGCAGCTCTTTAGACTTAGTTCTGGAGTTTGCAAACAGCTTGGCGTCATCGGCAAAAAATATTATATACATGTTTTTATTTCCATTGCTAAGTCGCTGATATAAACTGAAAAGAGCAGAGGACCAAGCACTGTACCATGAGCTATCCCGCTGAGAGCCACATGTACGTCAGAGAGTACTCCATTTATTCTTGTTTGAAAAGTTATTTTTTTCAAAAAGAAGGAAAGACAACCAAATAGATTACCACCAATTCCATAGTGGTCTATCTTATGAAGCATTTTATTGAATGGTACTTTGTCAAATGCTTTCTCAAAATCTAAGTAGACGATGTCGGTTTGTTCATTCTTATCAAAGCTTTGGTGTCCAGGTGTTCAAACAAGTTGTGAGGTTGGTAATGGTTGACTTTTTTGGAAGGAATCCATGTTGGTCTATAGTTGGAAGGTAGCAAGAATAAGGTAGTTGTTTATCGCCCTTTTTGTAAAGTGGGGTTACAATAGCATGTGTCCATATGTCTGGTAGTCTTCCACTCTCCATTATCTCATTCATGGCGTCTGCTAGATGTTTCGTAATTGCTTCGTTGCAATTTTGAAGAAATACTTCCGGAATGTTATCAGGACCGGGACCGGCGTCTTTCCTTAAGCAGTTAATGGCCTCAGAAACCTTGTCACTGGTAAAAACGATTGAAGTTAATCTGTTGTTGGATTTTGTTGATTCAGGAAGTGTCGGGAGCTCTGGATCATCGTCTCTTGAGAAAACTCTGCTGAATTGTTGTGCAAATTTTTCTGCTATCGCGTAATCATCCGTAATTGGAGCTCCTGTGGACAGATCTTTTAAAGTAATTTTGGAGACTGTTGTTTGTTGTCGTTTGATGATGCAATTTTTTTTTCAAAGTCCCTCCGTGCTTCCCGGATTTTGTTTTTGAGTTGGTTGTTCTGAATTCTATACACGGAGTAGTTTTGTTCACTTGGAGAATTTCTGTAAATGTCCCATAGTCTTCTTTTTTTGTTGATCTCATTGAATAAATAAATGTTTAACCAGGGTTTTTTTGGATTGACTTTAGATGATACTAATGGGACATATTTGGATATAGCCTGCTGTAGTATGTTAGTGAATGTCTCATATTTGTTTCCTGATGGACGTGTTGTATCAAAGTCTTGTTGGCTTAAATACAAGTTAATTTCATGGTAGTCTGCTTTCCAAAAAATTTTTTTGGTGACTTTATGGGTTGGTCTATCTCTGCATTTGAGCTGTGATTTAGCCGTGATCACAACATGGTCACTACTGTGGCCTATTGGTGCATCATGGTTTATATCAAAAACTAGCCTTTTGTCATTGACCAGAATGAGATCAAGTAACGATTTTTGATCATTTCTAAAGCGAGTTGGAAAGTTTACAACCTGATAAGCATTCATTAAGTGGTAATTTTCCAAGAAAAGTTGATTTGATTTGTCTGATTTATATAAGCTCAAATTTTTCCAATTTATTTGAGGATAATTGAAGTCTCCTAAGATAAATACCGGAATTTTCAGAGAACACGCCTCTGTTATGGCTGAAATCATTTCTATATCAGTTTCTTCTGTGAAGTATTCTGTTCTATAGATGCAACATAAGAACAGATTTAATTTGTCAATTCTTATATCAATCCATAAAGATTCAACAGGAAGGGTTGTTGTGTATTTTGTTGATATGCACGAATGTACTTTGTGACCACTGATTTCCTCTTTGATGTAAATACATATCCCACCCCCTGGTAGGCCTCTGTCTTTTCTGAATAGGGTGTATCCGGCTACACTAATTAAGCTGTCGTCTAATCGATTATTGAGCCAAGTTTCCGTTATGAATATAAATGTAGGTTGGATCTTTTGAATTGATGCTGCCCATTCTCCAGTTTTGTTTGTTAAAGACTGTACATTGCTATACCATAGGGCGACTTCAATGTTGTTTGAAATGTTTAGTTTTTTGAAACATTTCTGGTGACGATAATTTTTGGTGTAGAGTTAAAATATTTTATCCTTAAGTTTTCTTCACCTTGTTCTGTTCGTTTTTTGAGCTCTTCAATAGTTTCTTTCAGGAAGTTTCTTTGCATTGGCGTTAAATCAGCCTTTACATTGATCCCTTTAGAAGAATCGAGTGACTTTTTTTGTTTTAATATGTTCAATACCTCTTGTCTACTAGAAAAAATTACCTTTACTGGTCTTATCCTGTTTGCTTCTGCTCTTCCCAGTCTAAAAGTTTTGATAGATCCTGTTGGCACACTATTGTTGATGCTATTTAGAATGCTTTTTACTTTGGTGACTTCTACTTCCGATTTCTGATCTGCATTTACTTCAGTTTCTTCCAATCCGAAAATTAATAAGTTTCTTCTTATCATTTCTCAATTCTTTATAAATGCAGGATATTGCAACTCAACACAAGTTCCTAGAAACACCTCCAAATCTCAAATAGGTTTCAAGTAGTCAGTACGATAATAACAAGTACATACAAAGAAAATTCAACTCTGCAGATTTTGCAAAAAACAGAAAATTTTATTGAGTATAAGCAGTATTAAAAAAAAAATCAATACACAAAATATTTAGAACTTAAAAATCTATCTATTTAATGGAATAGTACCAAAGGTTGACATCTGAAGTTGGGCCTTTTCGTTGGAAATCCGCATGGCACTAGTTAAGTACTTCTGGAAAAGTTCACTCAATGTTTTGAGCTCCTACAAACCAAAAACATAAATTTCTCAACCAAAATTCCAAAAAAAATACACTCACATTTTTAAAAGGCCTGTTGAAATGTTTTTCGTTTTGCAACTTAAGCTGGTACACGAGAGACTGGATTTCGTACACGGGCATACAAAAGGCCTGAGAATTGGGTGATAGAGATGTTAGGGCGAGTAGAAGGTATTCTCGGCACAGTTCGAAGGCTTCGTCTAAATGACCGGATAAGTGTAGCAGTCTTAGGAGCTCACCTGAATTTCTTTTCTAGAATTTTTAAAAGATGAGCTAAAATTTTCAATTCTAAAAATTCTAATACCTTATAGGAAACTTTTAACCAAAAAGGCAAATACATTCTCATACTAATGATTTTTTCAGTAACCACTTTATGAAGTACTGTTAAATTAGGTTCTTCACATTCTTTTAATAGTTTTTGTAATAATTCCCATGCTAGTGTTGAATAGTTGTTCCTATATGCCGACAAATCTTGGAAATCATTTTCAGATAGCCAATCACAAGGATACGAATTTTCATCTTCACTGAGTATAACGCATCTGCCAGTTAAATCACTAAAGACTGACGCATAAGACAGTTTATAGGTTTTGCACACTTGTAATGCTTCCTTGAATAATCCTGCATTATTTAAATGCATAACAAGTTCTTCAGATTCATAAATATCTAGAAGTTATAATAGTTAACAAACTAATAATGGAAAAATAATTATTATTACTTGTAATTTTGCTGGAAGCTTCAGGATGAAATTTGATTAGTTTCAGTTTGGCCATCAAGAAAACAAGTTCCTTTTCCATTGTATCAACAGTAACGACTTCTACTTGCTTTTTAATACGGAAAACTTCAAAGTCTTTTCCAGAACCAGCAAGGGATTCCATAATGATTTCAGTTTCTTCTTCGTCAGGATCAGAAGGACGTATAACCCAAGCATATTCTGGATCGGTTAGTTGTAGTACATTTTTAGCTATGAGGCAACATTTTACTTGTTTTTCTAAAGCTTGGACGGTGTTGCAACGGGAGAGCCTGAAGGATTGCTCATATTTGATGGAGGCAGCTAAAAGAATTCAGTTTTTTGAATATTAAGAAGAAAAATCATAAACATTGGAAGTGAACCACTCAATATTAAAGATCTTATCATCAACAAATTTGTGGAAAAAGTAGGTATGTAGAAAGAAGATAATAAACTCACAAATGATTAATTATTATTACAGGAAAAAATCAAGGTTAGTGAAGAAACAGACAAATCACTTACCTAATCTATAATAAAGTGACCCCCTGTTGATTTGGTGAGAATACAAAATATCGTAAAACACATTATTAAGTGCATCAGTAGCTCTTGCCCTTGTAAACAGAATATTAGTAAACAATTCCTCCATGTCTATAAAAAAAAAATTATTCAACCAACAAACTCTCATTTACATAATCAAAAACAACCTCCGTAAGTAAATCCTAGCAATACATCAAATTCCTTTTCGTCCAACAAAGTTTTAACCAAATCCCTCAAATTGTCTTTCCGTCTTTCCAAATCCGGATTCGCTTTCAAATCGTCAAAAGCCCATTTGTAATGTCTCAAAGCTAAATGATGCTTGAATTTAATCGAGTACAACGTAGGTACTAAAGCACTTTCAGGTTCAATTGCCTTCAAGGCGTAAACAGCCATTTGAATTGCACAATCTCTGGATTTGTGTAGTTCAAATAGATGAATCACTTTTAGATAATAAAAGATTTTTTCTTGACCTTCGTGTGCGTCTTTTATTAGTTTTTGTAAAAAAGGTTCAACTAAAATGCCATCGCTTGCTGCTTGGAATAGTTTCAATGCTTTATGGTTTTCTGCACATGTTAAAAACGATGCAGCTAACAGAAATTTACCTACAGAAAAATGTCATTTAAAATATGGTTTGTTGGGAAACATTTTTTACTTACAGCTGTATTTATTCTGTACACACCAAGGACTTAGTAGTCTTGTATATTGCTGCAACCACAGATGTTGACCGCTGCTTACCAACCATTCTGGTAAAATTGTGCCGGTTTTAAGAGGCCATCTGGTTATAGTTTAAGGAAGATAATAATACAATTTTTTGATTAATTTGAAAAAATCTTAAAAGGATACAGTATAGTTCTAAGGTTGCTGATAAATGGCAACAAGCTCAAATGCCAATGCGCCCTAGCTTCTCCATGATAATCCATTTTGGACAACATTTTCCTTGCCTCATAACCCCCGGTAGAGGAAATAAATGCTTCCAAAAGTGAAAAAATATTTCGTGTGACATTAAAGGCTGGTGTTAGCTTTATTGTATTTAACCGCTGAAGCGCTGATTCTCTATAGATAATAACCAATTATAATTAAAGCTTGATTTAATCAAAAAACTACTTACTGTGCCACATTATTGAATGCAGGCAAATTAGCCAGCCAAAGCATAACATAATTAGCCTGAGTAAGCTCGATAATATCACTTTCACAAGCTTGTCGTATGTCCCTTGTAACAGCGTCAACATTGTTCAAACTGTGGCAAATTATTAACAAATTCCTGCAAATGGCGAAGCGATTTTGACACTGTTGCCTTAAACAAGTCGACACAAACGAAATACCCAGTGCGCTGCTAAAGTAATGCATTGCCTGAGGATTGGATTCGTTGTCAGGATTAGCCGGGGTACTGTCGTGACGTAATAGATCCAATAGTTTGTGTATCGCTTTGTATAAGTCTTTTACTTTTTTTAATTCATTTACTTGATCGCGGATACTAGGGTGCTGAGAAAAAAAAGGAATTAAGAAATCATTTTTTAAAAAACATTTTTTTTTACCTCTTTACGTAATATTTCACATAAACTGGAAACAACAAGCTTTGGTTGCAAAGTAATACCAATTTCCCTTTCAAAAGTAGTCTTTAAATTTTTGCTCATTTGACTCTCAATAAAGACAATCAAATCAAATAATTTCTTGACATTATCCAGTAAGTCTTGTTCTTCGCCCAAAAGAGCAAAATTTATAAACTGATCTTTGAAACCGGAATCGTTGCACAAAAACATATGTTCCAAAGGTTCCATGGGTCTGACAAGTGAAAAGGTTGCTTTCCTAATGAGAATAGCTGCAGAGTTTTGAGGCAGAAGCATCAGGCCTAAGGGTTTCAGGCTGATTTGATAATACTGACAGCAACTTGAGTAGAATTTTTCCCAGCACCATTTGGCTTTTTCCAAATATTCCTCGTCGGTTATATCTTCGATGTCGGCGAATTGATTTTGGATATCGTTTTCTATTGCTAGGCATATGGCTTGTTTTAGGGCTGCCACTGATGTTAATTTGACTTCGTTTTTCATTAAAGTCTATAACAGAAATATGTATTAACAATCTATGAACATATTTTTTCTATTCTAGGCTCTTGAATTTTGTACAATCTGAGAAATTTCAAGAGCCTGCAATAAACAAAAATTGAGACAGAAAATTTAAGCAATGGGAAGAGAAAGAATGAGTAGACAAGAAAGTAGAGACGTATATTTTGTTTTTCCATCCTCTTCAATATTTTCGTTTCAGACAAATTTGAAAAAAACTGAAAAAGCCCTTGTCCTTTGTAGGTCTACTTATTTTTTATAATTCACACAGATTTTCTAGCTTGTAGAGTTTTAGAGATATTGAGCCTCAAAGTTGAAATTTAGACTAAGTTTTGTCCAATATTTCAAACTCGATTTTCTCAAAAACTATAAATGGTAGCGATTTCAGTTAAATATTTCTCTCAATTTTGACTTCGGAAATCGATAGAGCTGGTCCAAATTAGTCAGAAATAACTCTGACATCAGTGGAATTTAGAAATTTCAATGAGAAAAAAAAAATTCAAAAGGAAATCACATGTTTGGCTCTAAAATTTTTTTGAAATCTAGACACATTCATGAATAATTGCTTATATCTTCAATTATATTTGAGAAAATTAACAGTAACCTTATATCATTGGAAAGAGTATTAAATTCTCTATAAACCCATGCAAAATTGAATTTTGTTACTTGTAGAGTTTTAGAGATATTGAGCCTCAAAGTTGAAATTTTGTCTAAATTTTGTCCAATATTTCAAACTCTATTTTCTCAAAAACTATAAATGGTAGCGATTTCAGTTAAATACCATCTAAAAGCCCTTATCAAGAGCTACACTTCCTGAAAATTTTGTCTTAGTACCGATTTTGGTTACCCAGATATTCAGGTTTGAAGATTTAGAAATGAAAATTCAAAGGGGATACCCCAAAAAATTGAATTTTTTTATTTTTGGATTTTTCTCAATTTTGACTTCGGAAATCGATAGAGCTGGTCCAAATTAGTCAGAAATAACTATGACATCAGTGGAATTTAGAAATTTCAATGAGAAAAAAAAATCCAATTGGAAATCACATGTTTGGCTCTAAAATTTTGTTGAAATCTTTACACACTCATGAATAATTGCTTATATCTTCAATTATATTTGAGTAAATTAGTAATAACTATACATCATTGGAAAGAGCATTAAATTCTCTATGAACCTGTGCAAAATTGGGTTTTGTAGCTTGTAGAGTTTTAGAGATATTGAGCATCAAAGTTGAAATTTAGTCTACATTTTGTCCAAAGCTTCAAACTCGATTTTCTCAAAAACTATAAATAATAGCGATTGCAGTTAAATACCATCTAAAAGCTCTTATCAAGAGCTACACTTCCTGAAAATTTTGTTCCAGTACCGATTCTGGATACCCAGATATCCAGGTTTGAAGATGTGGAAATGGAAATCCATAGGGGGATAACCCGAGGGATAACCTTAGAATAAAATGCAAAAAAAATTGAAAATTTTTATTTCCGGATTTTTTTCAATTTTGAACTTGGAAATCGATAGAGTGGGTCCAAATTACTCAGAAACAATTCTAACATCAGTTGAATTTAGAAATTTCGATGAGAAAAAGAAAAATCCAAAAGGAAATCTCATGTTTGGCTCTAAAATTTTGTTAAAATCTTGACACACTCATGAATAATTGTTATATCTTCAATTATATTTGAGTAAATTAGTAATAGCTACGCATCATTGGAAAGAGCATTAAATTCTCTATAAACCCACGCAAAATTGAGTTTTGTTACCTGTAGAGTTTTACAGATATTGAGCCTCAAAGTTGAAATTTAGTCTAAATTTTGTCCAAAATTTCAAACTCGATTTTCTCAAAAACTATAAACGGTAGCGATTTTAGTTAAATACCATCCAAAAGCCGTTATCAAGAGCTACACTTCCTGAAAATGTTGTCCCAGTACTGCTTTTGGTTACCAAAATATTCAGGTTGAAGATTTGAAAATGTAAATCCAAAGAGGATAAATAACCCTTCGGAAAAAGTGAAAAAAATTGAAAATTTTTATTTTTGGGTTTTTCTCATTTTTGATTTTAGAAATCGATAGAGTGGGTCCAAATTAGTCAGAAACAACTCTGACATTGGTTGAATTTAGAGATTTCGATGAGAGAAAAAATTCAAAAGGAAATCTCATGTTTGGCTCTAAAATTTTGTTGAAATCTTGTCACACTCATGAATAATTGCTTACATCTTCACTTATATATGAGTAAATTAATAGTAACCATATATCATTGGAAAGAGCATTAAATTCTCTACAAACCCACACAAAATGGAGTTTTGTTACTTGTAGAGTTTTAGAGATATTGAGCCTCAAAGTTGAAATTTAGTCTAAATTTTGTCCCAAATTTCAAACTTGATTTTCTCAAAAACCATGAATGGTAGCGATTTCAGTTAAATACCATCTAAAAGCCCTTATCAAGAGCTACACTTCCTGAAAATTTTGTCCCAGTACCGCTTTTGGTTACCGATATATTCAGGTTTGAAGATTTGAAAATGAATTTTTGGATTTTTCTCATTTATGACTTTGGAAATTGATAGAGCGGGTCCAAATTAGTCAGAAACAATTCTGACATCAATTAAATTTAGCTCAACTAATTATTTACTTACCCCCAAAGATTTATTCAATGTGTATAATGGAAATCTTCCAGGATGGAAAAGGTGCTGCGAATAAACTTGACGAGGATCTGATTTTCCATCAAGTGCCTAGAAAATGGTTTAAAAACAGCTGAAACTCAAAAATGTCAAATCTACCTCTTTTTCGTGAACAGCTTCCTTGATGACAGGCCTCCAAGTTCCACCTCCTTCCATTGGACGCATATAAACGCTGCATTGGGTATTACCTGTGACACAAGCCAACCAAATTTGGTTGGATTGCAACGAAAAGTCCAACACCATTTTCTAAAATTATGTAAATATAATTTTATTTGATTAAATATCCAAGCAAGACTTACCTCAACAGACTCTATGACTCTTACTACTTCAATAGTAATTTGTTCATTATTAATAATAGGTTTTAATATATGAAACTGTCCTCTGGATGGGAAACTCATGAATATTGCTATGGGGCTGTAACTTTCAACATTTCCCTCTGCCTTCCTTAATAAAGCTAAAAATAAAGGCCAATAGAAGAAAATTGAATACAAAAAAATTATTTTGTACCATTTTGTAATCTATCTGATCCTTGAGGCATCATATCAATTGCAGCCACACACTGACCATTTCTGCACGACCAGAATTTCAAATGTCCATTTCTGGCCAAAGTTAAAGCGTAAACTTCATATTCAAACACTTCAATCAAAGCGCTGATTATTTGGTTGCCGTCCTTATGTTTTGATCTGAATTTTTCAGTTATTCCCGATAAAAATCTGGGCATCAACGATTCACCTTTTAGTTCCATACACAATGCGCGGCCTTGTGAATTTAATTTGATCAAAAGGAGCTCGGCAGATGGATAGGCCAGAATAAAAACTGCCTCTTCTGTGTCTGGATTGTAAAAGGATTTAGCTAAGTTCGGTAGCTGGTCATCTAGAAGGAGTCATGTAAATAATACGGGAAACAATTTTGGATAAATACTTACTAGCTGTGCTTGGATTATTGAACACGTAGTAACTAGTAGGATCATCCCCAGTGTGGATGGCGTTACAGAAAATAGAAGGGGCAGCCAGTTTTAGGTGTGAGTCCAATAATTCATCCTAGAATAAATTAGTTTTTTTAAAACTGGTAAAAGCGGATTTGCCAATTGGGAATTTAGAAATAAATTGTTATTAAAACAACAGGGAATTTTGGATGTTTTTACTATTACAATGCCTGAATCCTTGGATGCTCAACAGGCTACCTGGAAGAAAAATAATATCAAGGCAAAGATGTTCATTGTACAAAGTTTGGCAGATAAAATTCTTGATTTTGGAAAGTTCTTACACAAAAAGGGGTATATCAAATCAAGTTATGTTGCAGAAACAACTATGAAGTTTGAAGTATACAGAGGGAACACATATGCATGGTTTTTTGAGAGAATTTGATAATACTCTGAGTGAGTTGATGGCTACAGGAGGGAACATATGGATTGATTTTACATTTATCATCTGCTATGCCAGAATGTTTTCAGAATGTAACAACAGCAACAGACATCATGTTTTCCCAGATTCAAAGTACAAGTGTTCATAAGTTTTGTGAGAAACAAACTCCTAATGGAGGAGGTCCGACAATTGAAGAAAAAAGATGAGAAAGGAACAAATACCGTTTTCCTGTCAAAGTATAACAAAAGAGATGGATGAAGAAAGCCTGCAATCTATAGAGTTAATTACAATAATCCTGGAAGTTACTCGGGAAATCCGGGTGTTAATCAGAGTGGAAATTTTCTGTTCAAATGTCATTTGTGTAACTAGACAGGACACAAAAGAGCAGAATGTCCACCAAATAAAATATAAGAACAATCATAGGGGATGTTTTAAGGGAAATTTTTCCCAAAATATAATGCTACTAATGTTCAGAAAGCAACTCCGGAAGCAAGTAACAAACGAGTGAAGGAAGACATATAATTTTTATCATCAGAGAATTGTTTAAAAAATGCCTTGTCATATAACACTGGAAGTGATACATATTTTGTTGTTGACAGTGGAGCGACAAATCATTTAATCACAGAAAAATTTGGAAAATACATTCAGGAAAGTAATAATGTTTTTCATAAGATAAGTGTGGATAAACAAGGGCAAACAATCACAGCAACAACACAGGGAATTTTCAAATTACAAACCGAAACTGGTAAACTTATAACTGTGAAAAATGTTTGAGTATGTGACAATTTACTCTATGTATAATCTATTATCTGAAAGAAAATGGCTTTAAAGTAATGTTTTTTCAATAAAAATGTAATAATATGTAATCAAAAATGAAGTTAGAATACTTGGAGGAGTGTGTAAAAATTATGTACATTTTAAAATAAATCAATATACTTAAGCCTACAGTATATTTGACAAGTGAAGATAAAATGTTGTTGCATAAAAGAATGGAACATTCAGCAAAATATCCAGCTCCATGTTTGTGTGAAGTCAATTTGTAAGTAAATATTCTCCAGGAAAGAAAATCCAATAGAATCTTGGAAACAGTGTCTACTGATAATTGTGGGCCAATAGCACCAACAACATATGACAGTAAGTCATATATTGACCATTTCTCACACATTTGTGTAATTTTCTTGGTGCGCAATAAGAGTGAGGCTTTATCAAAATTTAAAAATTATGTTGCTATCGTTGGAGCTAACTTTAATTTAAGAATAGAGAAATTTAGGCGCAACAATGGGGGTGACTACACATCACATGCTTTTAATGATTTTTCTCAAGAGAAGAAAATAAAAATACAATAGGTATATGGTAGCTTATAATCCAGAGCAGAATGGAGTAGCAGAACGTTTTAATAGGACAGTCATGGAAAGGGCTAGGAGTTTGATTTTTGATTCAAAATTGGAGAAATATTTGTGGTTTGTGGGGTCAAGCTGTAAGAACAAGAACGAATTTGATTAACAGAACTGACAGAACAGAGACAAGAACATTGAGAAATAACAAGACACCTGCAGAAATATGGAATAAGGAGAAACCTAACTTGGACAAAATAAAGGTATACAGTAATTTGATACCAAAACAAACCAGAAAGTCAAAATTAGAATCCAGATCAAAGAAATTAATAATGGTAGGACATACTGACAATGGGTATAGGTAGTGATGGCAACAGAAAATATTACCGAAAGAAGTTTCAGTAATAATACGTAAATTACGGTAATATTACCTCATCCTTGGGGTAATATTACCAAAATGAGAATTTTAAACTCGTAACTTACGGTAATTTTCTCAGTAAGTTTCCATGTAATATTCTCAGGAATATTATGCCATAATATATGCTGTGCAGAATCCGAAACGTTTATTGACTTGGAAGAAGCAGGCTGGGATGGAGGCATAGTTTGATAGATATAGTTATAAGCTTTGTTCCAACACAGCAGGAAACCCGAGAGGAAACCTTACAATGTACAGTCACGATTCTGCGCAAAGCCTAAAATTTATGCATAGGATCCGGAATTTGTATACAGAATAGTTCCCAATAGTTCATGGGACGATTTTTGACGTGTTGAACAGACCTATAGTAATTTTTTCAAAGCTATATGAATTTTATATGGCTGCTGTTTTGTAAAATATGTTTTTTTTAAACTAAATGAACAATTACTTCATATGACTACCGTTTTGTAGAATTTGTTTTTTTTTCAAGCTATGAACAATTACTACTCTTGTGGAAGGCCCAGTTTCGGTTCATTCATCTTCAGATAAAGATAAAGATAAAGTGCTGGTTACTATCTGCAAGATAAATATACCGTTCTTTAATTCTATTGGTCGGCGGATAACCGGCTGACCAATGGGATTACAAATTGCATTATTATCCGTCAGATTGCATACCTTACAGTTTATCAGAAGGTGAATAAACCGGCCCTAAGAGATATTATACTGTCACTTCCACGTTTGCTTTGCTGTATTTTGAAAATTACCGAAAATTACTGTAAATTACCGTAATTTACCTAATGTTCTTACCAAATTATAAATTACCGGTAATTTGCCATCGCTAGGTATAGGTTGTGGAACAAAAATCAGCGGAAGATTATTAATGGAAGAAATGTGATTTAAGAGGGTTTTAGACAATCAATAATAACTTTTTTTCTATTATAAATAGAAAGCTGCTATTTTCAGCAGTTCTTATTGTAGAGGACTACAATCCCTAAAAATTTCAGCTTATTTGGACTTATAGTTCCAGAAATAAAATCGTGTTAAGCAATTTGGGGTGATTTATCAATTTTTCAATTTTTCTGAGTGCCTTTTTTCATAGAATCCGGATCCAAATCTCAAAATAATTTTGGAAAGGTGAAGAAAAAAGCTCGGTTAGTGGCACGAGGAAATAAACAATTTCTCTGAGGGTTTTAGACAAAGGAAAAATAACCACTGAAAAGATTAGCTATGTCAACACAGTTAGACATCTTTTCTGTGGCCAGAAACATTTCCTTAGGAATAGTGATGTAAAATGCTCGAGCAAGTATTTTAGGAGAACGTTCTCCGAGCAGGATCGAGAATTAACGAGAATAAACGAGCAAAAACGAGCAGGACCCGAGAATTTATGCTTTTTATCAGACGCTGAATAAAACAAAACATTTTTCTAAATAAATTCTGATTTTTCTCAAATTTCCCGAAATTCCCAAATTTCTCGTTGAAGTTCTGAATATTCTGAAAATTCTTCATAAATGTGGTGAAAATTCTCAAACTTCTTGGGAATATATAATACATATAAGTTTTTAGAATTTTGTCCACAACAATTTCAAATGAAAGTCAGTTTTTGGCTTATTGGACGTTAATTTAATATCGAAATCAATGCCGACGTTTCGGTGTACTCCACACTGTTTCTATTGTTACAGCCCTGAAGATGGTGTGGAGTACACCGAAACGTCGGCATTGATTTCGATATTAAATTAACGTCCAATAAGCCAACAACTGACTTTCATTTGATAATACATATATCCTATTCACAATCTGTAGTCCAAAGGTACAGGTAAATTTATCACCTTTCCCTATCAAATAGCATTGAAAGGTGAGTGATAAATTTTACATGTACCTTTGGACTACAGATTGTGAATAGATAATAATTAATCTCATATTTTGTGAATTGTGTCTTGTGTCATGTTTGACAACAATAATTATTCTAATTTGGGTTTTTTTTTCCAGTAGAACGCTACCTTTGCTTACAAAAAAAATAACTATTGCTGCTAAGTTGCTTCCTGGTTCTCGGGCTCAATATTTGATATATCTCCGCCTTCAACAGCTTCCATAAATATATCTCTACTCTATGGCGTCATGTGATTTTATTGGTTAGGATCGTGCTTGAGGACGTGCTAAATATTCTCTATCGTGCTCAATGTGCTCCGAAGGTAATATTCAGCACGAACCTTTTTTTCGTGCGCGAACGTTCGCGAATGTTCTCGAAAGCACAATCAGAACGTTCCCTTGTTCACATCACTACTTAGGAATAGAACTGTGATTAGATTGAGGATTCCAAAAAATTTTCACATCGATTTTCACCTTATTGCCTTTGCCTCTTCCAGCATTCCTTCTTATGTATAATTTGTAGCACTCATTGGTGAGCGGTTTTCACATTCCACCCCCCAGTGAACATTTTGTGGTTGAGTTTTGATAACGCTTCCGAAATTGTTACACTTTCTTGTGTCAAGTTGCACACAATGTTTCGGAATGTCGACTGACATGTGTAGGCCATGCGTGAAAAGTGGAGCACGATGCCACCACACATTTGTGAAACAATTCAGGCATATGGTCTATCAACTGTTTCATTCAATTTTCTTTCCAGGTACGCAATTCCGGAATTGTACTCCTCACCAGATTATATCAACTAAGAAAATGGTTGACAGAATGAGGAAGGCGTGTCTAGATTGTAATATGGTTTTCTTTGTTCAATACATGGAATCCGTGTATATGATCTCATTTATTAAAAATTATGGACACCATGCAATGGCTTACAGTGTAACATGCATATTTTATATATGATAATATAATAGCATAGATAATAGATTATTTTCGACTCAGGAAATCAAATTTCCATTGCAAAGCAAACTTTTTCCTGTAGTTTTTCATTTTACTAACACAATTACCAATGCGCCCTTAAAAAAGCTTTTAGCTATAAAAAAATTACCATAAAAGAAGCCCTTTTATTAACCTCAAAATATATTTTTCAATGTTGCGTTTTAAAACAATTCTGTTTGCAATAATAGTATATTATGATATAAGTGTATAAGAGGGCCTTTAAAGCACGCGCGACATATTTCAAAACACGACGCGCAGCGGAGTGTTTTGTAAGTCGCAAGGGCTTTAAAGGCCTCTTATACACGCATATCATACGCTATTTTATATTACAAATGCATCATAATTTCAAAAATGTTTTAAATGTGTTCATTCATTTTGATGAATAGTAATTTAAACGGCAAAATCTAGGTAATGAAGGTAGATCAAACGTTTCTATAGCAAAACTTTGAAAAGGTAGGCGCATCATAAACATCATTTTATGCACGCTGCAGCGTGCGATAATCGTTGATTATGATGCATGCGTAATATAAATTTCCTTATTGTTGATAAAGTAATGATTTTTTTCGAATCAAAAGCAAATTTTCATAGATTTCAAACTAAAATAACTTTCCAAACTCTTTTCAATGTCGCCTGCACACTAGATTTCCTGTTTTTACCTATAGACAGTGTTTGTTACTATGCCGCAGTTGTGTTAACCCGGTAACTTATATGTTACACACAATTCCTGCATGGTGTCCTACATGAAATAAATAATGGCTTTTTCAACACGATTCCCACTATGTGTGCGGAGCTGAAAGGCGTGAGCATTTGTTGAACGCACTTCCGTAACACATCCTTCTTTGTGTCAGTGGACTCAATGCCGGCATTGTGAGAACCGCTGTTTCCTAAAATTAGACATTAAAACTGCTTGCTTAATTCAGAATAATTTGGTGTATGGTTTATTTCTAAGTCTGACGATTTCAGGAAAATATCTTGAGCTTCTGATGTTCCATTTTTTTTTGTCTAGATATTCCTTATCGTCTGGTATTACAGAAGAAACCACATTTTTTATAAGTATCTTTTGTAGATCTACTTTATTGGCAGATTACAATTATTGCTTTTGGAAATGTTGATTTCACTGGTTCATTAGCAATATCACTCTTTGGCACAACATTTTCCCTGTTGTTTAGGTTTTTATTTTTCTAAAATAAGACGTTCTTGTCTTGAAATTTCTGATTTGTTTATTAGAAGACGTGTTCGACCATTTTGTTTACTTCTATTGCAATTGCACACATCTTGTGTCAATGTAAGGTTGAAAATCCTACTTTGTTTCACAGAATACTAGTCTAAATACCCAAAAAAACTTAATATACATTATTCCCTAAATGCGTCACACCCTCACTAGCAGTTTAAATTTGGGAACTTTTTTACACTATATTCCTTCCTCAATTCCTTCTGTTAGTCACACAATATTTCCACTATTCCCGATTTGCGTCCTACTTGCACACAGACACAAGTAGGGTATTTTGTAACAAATTTCCTGCTTAGAGTCACGCGACAAAATAACCTTGTAACAGTGTGTGACACAATTCCTACACTTGGTTTAGTATACACAATTACTTTCTGGTGTCAAATTACACACCAAAATGTGTGTATTTTCACACAAATGAAGTAAATTGCGACGTAACAGCAACATCACAAAAAGCACAGTTCCCTTCAAGGAATAAAATACTCACTGGGCCCAAAGATCTAGAGACCTTTGTGTAAACATTTTAGAAATATAAATGTCGAGATAAATGTGGAAATCTTATGTAATTAAATAAATAAATCCTAGAATAAATCACTACATAACAAATTTATTTTCAACTTTCTTTTTCAATAATAATTCAATGAAATAAAGATAAGTCTTACCTGTCTATGGTATTTTGATGGATGTGGGAATGTAAACTTATGCACACTACAAACAGTAGGGACCAATATAAAAATATGATCCTCTGTTTCTTTAACCGATACACCGTCTAGAATAGGGCTATCAATGAACTTGTATCTAAGTTTGTTTCCAGTTAAGTTTATATCCAAACTGTGCTCTATTAGTTCGAGGATATCTGAATCTATTCGCCTATAAAAATACAAAAAAAAAGGTTAATTTGGTGGACAAACATTTTGCAAGTTCTTTACCAGTATATGAATCTATTTCTTGTATAGTAACGGTTGGAATCTGCATAGCTGTAGCCGCTTGCCTTTTCGGTTACTTTGATGTCCTGCAAGGTGCTCTGGGCGCCTCCTGGAGAAAAATTATTAAGCTAGATTGTTCTGCAATATTATGAGAAGCTTTTACCAGTGAAAATCGGTATTTCTGTCCATTTTTCAATCAGGTCTTGGTCTGCTATCACTTCGCGATAGCCCAAAGTAAACTGTGTCATGTTTTACATGAATTTCTTAATAATTAATATAGAAAACACTGGGGCCTAATAAAAAATTAGAAACTTGTGGTCGTAAACTGTGGGAAATTTTGAAATGATGAGCTTGAAGTCACATAACCTGAAAATCCAAAATCGTAAACAACCCTTTTGGTTGTTTAAAAAAAAAAAGAAGAACGCGAACCGAACGATTCTTTTCTTAAGATTTTATGTCAATGAAATATTTATTATAATTTCTCATGTTTATTTTATTATTAAATTAGTTACTAATTATCTAATTTTCAAGTAATAATTAATAAATCTATGATAATGAATTCTGTTCCGAACAGTTCGAACAAATCCATTGATAACTACATAAGAAAAAAGAAGACCAACTGTCAAGGTTAAGTCAACATAACCTTGAAGTGAAATCTAGGCATTTGCACTTGTCCAAAATAAAATATTTTTTTATTAATATTTTATTTATTTTCATGGATATTTGCAATGTTTTATCAATAAAATGGATATAATAAAGTATAATAGGAAGGTCCAACATACACAGGACAATTCCCGTTTGACTGCTGGTAAGTTTTAACGACAAATAAAACGAATATTGCGAAATAACACAAAGTGTTTTTAGATGTTTACTTTCTAATACAAAGGTTTCTATCTAATGGACCACTCAAACGGACCTTACAGGTAAATATTTTACATAAAATATTACAAGACAAATTTACATTTTTTTATCCTTGATATTGACCTCTTGTTTGTTTAATATTTTCAGACACTCAATGAAGAACTCGATGAACACCAGGTAAATATAACACAACTTCTATCAAAATTTCCAATAACTTAACCATTTTTTTAAAGATATTACCAAAAAGAGTTGACTGGCAAGGCAACGAACATGAACAATCTATTGAAGATATGGTAATAAACTCAACTTTACCCCAAACCAAAACTTTACACCAATGTTTTTTTTTAGCAAAGACAATATCCATACATCCACAAAGATTTCTTGTACTATCTGTGCAGCCAAGCATCTACTCACCTAAACCCCAACCATGCCCCGGTCTCATTTCTCAGTTTCCGTCCCAAAGAAAAGGACAAAGATGGTATTCTCACTAACTACAAACAGTATTTTAACTATGTAACCCGGCTTCATGGTGCTCCTATAGCGGATATAAAATCTTCTTGCAATATAGGTAAGAACATAGGAATGTGATTAGAAATGGTTTAATTATATTAATCTCAAATTAAATAACATGAATCACTACTCATCAAGTGATCCAAACTGCCCTTTGTATAGATTTTTTTTGAACATGTTCTTTATTCAAGCATTATAGATACAGTATGGTTTACTATAACTATTTTCACAAAATGCTCGATTTTCTAAGCAATGCCAAGGCACTAATACTGGAGTATAAATAATAACACAAATGTAGAAACTTCTGAATCAAGGGTAAAAATGAAAAATGAATAGGCGTGTAATAGTTGTAGCATTATCCATCAAAATCTCGATCAAAATGTTCAGTCACTAGGAAATTCCATAGATGCAATAAATGATCTATTAGAAAACCATCTAACTTGTCAGATCATAATTATGCTTAACTGGCTTATGACCAATAAAAGTGTTTAAACTCAAACAAGTTTTTACTAGGAAGTTCCTTTTGCCCTGAGTACAATGGGCATGGACATATGTACTTACTTAACATGTACTTATTTCTGACATTTCTGAAAAAAAAAATGATAATTTTCAAAATTTTTGAAAGATTTTTCCTCGGATTTTTCATTTCTCTCCAAAATTTCCGAACATCTCCACAATATTTACTGTAGTTCTCTAGAAATGAGCATTTTTTTGCTGAAATTTGTACATGGAGGTGAGAAATGTTGGACTGTTGGTTCCAGTTCTATACTCGATTCTATATTTGAAACCCCAATAAATGATTTTGCAAAGTTTGGAGTGACCGTGGAAGCGTTGGAAATACAGTTGAAAATTATATTTTTCTAGGCCCCTTAACCCTAATTCAATATTTTACAGCAAAAGTTTTTATTAATATTGTACCAACCTGAATTTGAGGGTATAGGTAAAGCAAGATGTTGTTTATAAAGGTAGAAAATACATTATATTGAAAACTTTTATGATGTCATCTGGGGTGCCCCAACATAATGCGAATCTCTATAAAGCATCCCAGATGACATCATCAAATTACCCTTACCAGACAACCTATTAACTTTAGGAACCTTGAGGACTTATAAAGTTGTCTAAGGCAGGTGACACACTGGAGAAATAAGTTTCTTGAAACTTGTTGCAAGAAACTTGAAATTTATTTCTTTACCATATGACACATACATTCTGAAACAGGAGAACAGAAATTATTTCGCTAGTGTGCTAATTTCTGTGTCACCTGCCTATGTTTTCTTCAAGGAACTTCATGGTAATGATTAATGATCCCTATTGATGTCTGTTACACGACTTATGTACCATTTACCCTCATGATAGCAAACATAATACTTTTCAACTACATAATGGCAATTTCTTCGATTTCCGAGCCGATTTCCTTTTAGTTTTTTCTTGGGGTTTCCTCTTCACAAGAGTTTTCATATTCGCTTTCCAAAGTGTGCTGTACACTTGAATCTGTATTTCCTTCAAAAATCATATCAGTTTTGGTACCTTCTCTTTTTATTTGCTCCTTGCCCTTGCTTCCTTAGTTGTTTTTCACTGGGGATGAAAGTAGGAGTTTCAATGGTTATAGTAGATTTTTTTCACCATGTAGCCTCATCAAACGGTCACTTGAGATAGCATTCAAATCTATTCAAGTTTAAGTGGATGCAATTTCAAAAGGTTTCCTCGAGGGTTTCCTTGAATATTAAACTGAGTATTCTCTTAAATTTGAACCTGTAAATCATGAAGTGAAATTTTCGGAGAATTTTTTTGATAGAAATGAATGTCCAACGTCCAAAACAAAACTAGATTTTTTTTTAAATTTCCAATTATTAGTGTTTCTTATAATAAGAATAATGTGAACCTCAGGGACGTCATGACCCTACAATTTCCTTTAAATTACTCACAAATTTCTCCAAATTCACTGGAAATTTCTCCAAATTCCCTATAAATTTCTTCAAATTCCCTATACCTCAATTCCCCACATTTTTGGCAAAGAATTCCTAGGTGGTTTGCCCCTTAAAAAAAATACAGTCCCACACAATTCAAAGTTTTCCTGAAAAACTAATTGAGGGAATGATTGAAACTTTTTGCATGTGAAGAGGAAAGTTAGGAAGTCATTTTCCTAAAATTTCAAATTTTTCCAGGGGAAAATAACAACATAAAAAATCTTGGAAATCAACTTAGAAATATGTAGTGAATTAATTGAAAATACAATTTGATACATTTCAAAGTTTTCCTGGAAAACTAGTGAAGGGAAAAATTTGAAACTTCTTGCATGTGAAGAAGAAAATTAGGAACTCATTTTCCCAAAATTTCAAATTTTTCCATTGGAAAATAGCAATATGGCGAATTTTGGAAAACAGCCTACAAAAACTGAATTAATTGGAAGACAGTCTCACACAATTCAAAAATTTCTTGGAAAACTAATGAAGGTAAAAATTTGAAACTTTTTGCATGTGAAGAGGAAGATTAGGAGCTCATTTTCCTCATCATTTTCCCAAAATATCAAATTTTTCCAGTGGAGAATAACAACATGACGAATCCTGGAAATCAGCCTACAAAAACTGAATTTAAATTGAAAGACAGTTTCTCACAATTCAAGGTTTTTCTGGAAAACTAGTGAAGGGAAAAATTTAAAACTCTTTGTATGTAAAGAGGAAGGTTAGAGGTTCATTTTCCCAAAATTTCAAATATTTTCCAGTGAAAAATAACAACATGAAGAATATTGGAAATCAGCTTATAAAAACTGAATTAATTTAAAATACAGTCTTACACATTTCAAAGTTTTCCCGAAAGACTGATAAAGGGAAAAATTTGAAACTTTTTACATATAAAGTGGAAGGCTAGGAGCTCATTTTTCCAAAATTTCAAATTTTTTCAGTAAAAAATAACATGTAAAATATTGAAAATCAACTAACAATAACTGAAATAATTGAGAATACAGTCTCACACATTTCACAGTTTTTATGGAAAACATACTGCTCAAAACATTGTTCTTGCATTAGGAAATGTTGTTAATAAACCCCAATATGAAAGAATTTTCTCAAAACAAAACAAACAAACATTTATAGAATGAATATCCTGTAAGAGTTGTGTCTGATGTCTATGTTGAGATTCGTGTCATTGACAAACAAGAGGTAAATAGGCAGTGGGACAAATTTATAAATACCTTTTTTAGGTTATTTAATCATAGCTTCAGGATTGAATGGATATTTCCATGTAAATTAACACGAGAATGTTCTAATATATTCATGGAACTTTTAAGTTAGTTCAAAGTCTCATGTGACAATTTCCAAGATTTTCTGAAAGTTTCCAATTTTACATTATTTTCAAAAGTTCCATATGATTCCAAAATACTCCTAGAAATTTTAACTTGGATCTGAATCTGAACTTTGAAATATCTCAAGTTTTTTTAAATGTTCCTGAAAGTTTGGAAGTGTTCTGGTTCTTTCTAGAATTTTTCTGTAATTCTAATTTGACGAGTGTACCAAAAGCTTACTAAAATGTTGCTGAAAGTTCCGAATTGTTGTTCCAAGGGGTAAACCACCTAACCCCCAATAATCACTTTGAAATCTTCTAAACTTAATATCAAAGCACTCATTATTAATTTCATATTCAGTTGGGGATTTCTTGGATGGGTCACTCCAAGGGTCACTCTAATATTAAACATTTGCATATTTATTTATTTATTTATTTTATTTATTGATATTCATACAAACACCTTTATGGTAATTACAAGTAAGAAAAATGGATATTTACAAACTAAACACTACCCCAATAAAAACAACATACAAGGTGGCACTGCTAGGTACTACTTAACTTTTGAATTATTTCGTGTCGGGTATTTATAAAATAATCTAGACTAACATCTTGGAAAAACAGTTCATTACATCCAATGACATTACATCCGAGGTGTAAATCACTCATGGAAATCACTGTACTACATTTTGCTGGAAATACTTTGGGAATACCTAGGAATACTTGGAAATCATTGGGAATACTCTGGAAGTATATAGAAATACTCTGGAAACAGGTACATAGGAATAATTTGGGAATACATGGAAGGACCTGTAAATTTCTATAATGTCCAATCCCACTTTTAATGTATTTTTGGTCATTTTCATTCAAATCTCAAGAGTTGCGTGCATATTCGTTCTGGTTTGTTTTGGTTCAGTATTCCACTTTGTTCTGGTTAAGTGTTCCAATATTTGTTGGTCAACTGTTTCAGTTACCCTAATTTTGAGGCAACTGGGACAGTGATTCCTATTTTCTTATGCATTCACATAGTAATAATTCTGAGGTGACTGGAACATATTGTAACGTAGCTATATGTAGAGATCCTACCAAATTTTATTTATTTTTGGCTCAAGATTTATGGGAAATTGGGAGATGTAACAAAAGTATCACTTAGTGGTGAGAAAATATTGTTTAATAAAAATGGTTAAATGAACAAAAAATAAAATAAGAAACGTATTTTCTTTGAAAATAATCCATATCTCCATGGTGTTCAGCACAGTTGACAGTTCTTCTTCTGCTTCATTCATATATTTCTCCACCACCTTATCCTGCTACCGACAATATACCTTTCGCTCTTGTTCCAAATACAAAGAGTCTTATTGTGAATCTTGGGATGTCACAAGGTTGTTCGAGAGAGGTAGGTTGCTTGATAACTTTATGACGTCATCTGAGGTGCCTCAACAGAATGCAAATCTTTATAAGTCACCCCAGTTACCAGACAACCTATTAACTTTAGGAACCTTGAGGATGTCATAGAAAACGGCAGCACCTTATATAGTTCTCTTAGCGTTTTGGACATCTTCACTTGGTTTTTTCAGGACCAACTTGGTGTTCCACCGTCTGCACTTTACGCCTATAATTCCTGACTATATTTGCTTTAGAACAAACGAGAATATGTACACAATGTTAATTTCAGCTGGAACCCAAGCTGTGTTTCCATTATTTGAAATTCTAAGCTCAAAACAAACCTGGCTTACCTTAGAACATCTTTCTCTTAAGGTTAAACATGGTCAATGCAATATTATTCACTGTAATCACTATTCATTGATTAAAATCCACTTGTTATGATACACTTTGTTACAGTAACAAATTTCAATTTTTTTCTCTGAAATTAATCTGGCTTCGTTCTTTCTACTACATGCAGGATATAAATGAAACACATATGTAACGAAATTTTATGCGTGGGAAATTCACATTTCGATAATAAGCCAAAAACTGGCATATGGCCCAGTTACCGCGCTGTTCCAGTTAACCCAGTTGACCTTACTTGGAAATACCACGGAATACAAGAGGGAATACTTGGAAATACTGTTCAACTTTGAGAATTATTCCCAGGAACTGGAAATCAAATTTATCTCTTTTAACCCTTAAATTAATTTTAGGTACATGTACAGGAATATAGTTGATTAAGGAACATTTATTGTACTTTATATATCATTGATAAGATAATAAATAAACAGCACACACTGTATCTGCCTGCTTTTTTCCAATTTCTGGAACTTGAAGTCATCCAACAGGCTTCTATATGAGACTAGATATATGTTATTTTTTCTGATATACAAAACCCTTAGAAATCTTTTGCACTATAATCTAATTAATTTAAACTTTCAGTTAATAATATTAGAGGCAGGGAAGTTGGAGGTGTACTTTCAAGAACTAGATCAATAACTCCCAGAATATACGCTGGCATGCAAATGCAACGGCTTACCATTGGTCATTTATCTGCAGTTTATTGTTTGTTGTTTGACCATTCTGGAAGGTAAAAACGCAATCTATTTTTATATTGTGACTTGTAATGAGGTTATTTCAGATATGTTATTACTGGAGCTGACGATCTGTTAATTAAACTCTGGTCAACTTACACGGGTCGACTAATTGCCACTTTTAGGGGAGCCTCTTCGGAAATTACCGACATTGCTGTGGATCCTGAAAATTTTTTGTTGGCTGCTGGATCGATTGATAGGAATCTGAGGGTATAATATTTAATGATATTAAAAGAAAAAAATATAAGTCCCAAAAATCATAATTTCTTTTTAGGTTTGGAATTTACAAACCGGTGCTCCAGTAGCAGTTCTCACAGGCCACACAGGCAATATAACTTCGGTTAACTTCTGCCCTACTCCGTGTTGGGGCCATAAGTACTTAATCAGTACAAGTAGTGATGGATCTATTGCATTTTGGACCTACAATTCTGACGGGCCTGATAGTAAAGTGGAATTCAGGCAAGTTATGTGACTATGTCAAACCAATTTGACTAAAATTGCCTTTTTTCTAATAGACATACCCCAAATTTATATCAAGAAAAACTCAGGCCGGGACAAGCACAAATGATTTGTTCGTCGTTCAGTCCTGGTGGTACGTTTTTAGCTACAGGTTCCGCTGATCATCACGTGAGAGTTTATTATATGAAAGGTAACAAAATTATATCGGTTTTAAATAAAAACTAATTGATCAATTTAGCTGACGAGGGTCCTCAGCGTATTCTAGAAACAGAAGCTCACATTGATCGTGTTGATTCAATTCAATGGGCCCATTCGGGTCTCAAATTTCTTTCTGGCAGTAAAGATGGCAACGCAATTATTTGGTGGTTCGAACGGCAGCAGTGGAAAAATGTACATTTAGCTATGACAACTAAACTACCAAAGTAAGCTACACATTTCAATGTATACCTAGTTTATTTATGTATGTTTTTTTCTAGTGAGAAACAAAATCCAGAACCTGATACTAAAAATAAAATTAAAGTAACTATGGTAGCTTGGAATAGATCAGATTCTTTGGTAATAACAGCTGTTAGTGATCACACTTTGAAAGTTTGGTCAGCTAGTGGACAACTAATAAGATGTTTGAAAGGTATATTTATCCAATTGCAATTTAGATTTGCTTCAAAAATACATTATTTTAGGTCATACGGATGAGGCTTATGTCCTGGAACCACATCCCCACGATGAAGATGTAATTTTATCAGCAGGCCATGATGGTCAAATATTAATTTGGGACATACACAAGGGTGAAATTTTGTTTCAATACCTAAATACTATTGAAGGTAAATATCAATACTATAATTAAGTTAATTATTGTAACACATTCATTTAGGTCAAGGATATGGTTCAATTTTTGATGCAAAATGGAGCCCGGATGGCTGTAACATATCAGCTAGCGATTCTCATGGTGACATTTTAACTTTCGGTTTTGGCACTGGCAGTCCGTTTTACAAGCAACTTCCCAAAGAGTTGTTTTTCCACACGGATTACCGTCCGTTGGTTCGCGACCAACAGTTTTGGGTTATGGACGAACAAACTCAAGTGCCGCCCCATTTGATGCCGCCGCCCTTTTTGGTTGATATCGATGGCAATCCTTATCCTCCTATGTTGCAAAGGCTAGTGCCTGGTAGAGAAAATTGCAATGTTGATCAACTTGTTCCGAATATGGTCATTGGAAATGAAGGTAAGGTTTTTTTTTGGGGTCAAGGTAATGTTTCGATTAATATACTTTTTGTGTATGTTTTTGCTTCATCTGGAAAACTATACAGAAGGTAAAAATATGCTTTATCATAATTGAAAATTTAATATTTTTTTTCTTATAATTCTAATAGGTAATCAGGAAGTTATACAAGATGTTCCTCATAGAAATATTGATGAGTCAGAAGATGAAGATGGCAGAGGTAATGCTGGAGGTTTTTCAAGAAGCCAGAGGTAAGGTTTCATTTAACCTTTATTTAATTTATACATAATTATTTTTTTGAAAGAATTCGTCAAAGTACTGGTGACTGGCAAACTGACCATAATATAGAATGGACAAAATCTCTATTAATGGAACCAATTTCCTCGTCAGTTTTACGTCGAGCTATGGAAACAAGGTTTGTATAATATGCTTTGTTCAAAATTTGCTTTTTAACTGCTGAAATTATAGAAAACTAACTGAACATGCTGAAATGACTGAATATCAGAAACAGCTGAGACGAAGACCTCTGATGATATCAACCACTGCTGGGCCTAGCCATTCAAAGGTTAAAAAGAAACGAGGTGCTAGAAGACCCAATAGACCAAACAAAGTTTCAGTTACAGTAAGTCTGAAACGTTATCTTGTAATCATTAGCCATCAAAAGTACGTAGGTTGCATAGAAAGTAGGGTTCAGGATAAAAATGATTTTTGGAGCAACCTTTGTAGTTCTGTTATATTTGTTGGTTTCTAATAAAATATGTCCGAGAAACTTAACTCTTTTAACATTGAAAATGGATTTTTCCTCATTAAATTTCAATCCAGAATTGCCCAAGGTTTCCATTACTTTTTTAATAATTTTTTCTACACCTCCCTGGGAGTCGGAATAAATAAGAATATCGTCCATTAAGCAGTGAGTGTTCAGAATGTTTTTTAACAAAGAACTCATTATTTCTTGAAATACCTCTGGTGCTGAACAGATTCCAAATGGTAGACGAGTGCAACTATAACACCCCCATGGTGTTGAAAACGTGAAATATTTTTGAGATTGCTCTGCAACTTTCATTTGCCAAAACCCTCGTTTGCAACAGTATTGCCAACTGCGGATCAACTATTATATTATAGAACGCTATAAACTTATAGTACATTTGTACAAATTATAGTATCCTGCTGGAGAAAGATGAACACCAATTGTCCTGGTGGAACACACAAAGATCGAACTATTATGAAATTTTCTCGACAAAACGAGAAAAGTCAGGGGCGTATCATACTAAAATTTCAGATTTTTTCAGTGGATAATAACCCCATTGGAAATTAACGAAAATCAACTAAATTAGACATAAATGCACCATCTAACTTTTTTTTTTTTTTTTAAACTATTCAAGGGAAAATTATGACATTTTCTGGAAAAAAAGAAAGAAAATCAGGGGCGTATCATAGTGAAATTTCAGATTTTTTCAGTGGAAAATAACCCCATTGGAAATTAATGAAAATCAATTAAATTAGGTATAAATGCACCATCCAACATTTTATTTTTCTTCTGGAAAACTATTTGAGGGAAAATTATGTCATTTTCTGGAAAAAGAGAAGAAAAGTATCATAGTAAAATTTCAGATTTTTTTCAGTGGAAAATAACCCCATTGGAAATTAATGAAAATCAACTAAATTAGAATAAATGCACCATCTAACATTTTATTTTTTTTCTGGAAAACTATTCAAGGGAAAATTATGACATTTTCTGGAAAAAAAGAGAAAAATCAGGGGGGTATCATAGTAAAATTTCAAATTTTTCCAGTGAAAAATAACCCCATTGGAAATTAATGAAAATCAACTAAATTAGGCATAAATGCACTATCTAACATTTTATTTTTTTTCTAGAAAACTATTTGAGGGAAAATTATGTCATTTTCTGGAAAAAGAGAAGAAAAGTATCATAGTAAAATTTCAGATTTTTTTCAGTGGAAAATAACCCCATTGGAAATTAATGAAAATCAATTAAATTAGGTATTAATGCACCATCCAACTTTTTATTTTTCTTCTGGAAAACTATTCAGGGGAAAATTATGACATTTTCTGGAAAAAAAAGGAAACTCAGGGACGTATCATGGTAAAATTTCAAATTTTTCCATTGGAAAATAACCCCATTGGAAATTAATTAAAATTAACTAAACTAGGCATAAATGCACCATCCAACATTTTATTTTTCTTCTGGAAAACTATTCAGGGGAAAGTTATGACATTTTCTGGAAAAAAAGAAGAAAATCAGGGGCGTATCATAGTAAAATTTCAGATTTTTTCAGTGGAAAATAACCCCATTGGAAATTAATTAAAATTAACTAAATTAGGCATAAATGCACCATCTAACGTTGTATTTTTTTCCTGGAAAACTCTACAGAAGAAAATTATGACATTTTCTGGAAAAAAGAGGAAAGTCAGGAGCGTATCATAATAAAATTTCAAATTTTTCCAGTGGAAAATAACCCCATTGGAAATTAATAAATATCAACTAAATGAGGCATAAATGCATGCTGATGACCTTGTCTTGTATCCCACTGATGAGCGTGCATTTTTATTTCTATTTTTTTGGATTTATTTTCCAATAAAAAACTAAATAATTTGATAAGGCTTAGTTTTAGTATTTTAGGCGTACTATAATGACCTCTGATAGTACATAGTAATTAACCATTAAATTATAGTACAAATACTGTAACTATGGTACGGTTGGCAACACTGGTTTGCAATCTAAAAGTATAAAATTTTTGGCTCCACCTATTTGTGTTAAAATTTCTTCCATAGTTTTCAGTGGGTAATGTCCTCTCAAAATGTTTTTGTTAACATCTGCAGGATCTATGCAGATTCTCAATTTACCTTTTCGCCTAACAGTTACTAACGGACTGACTGCAGGAGTAGGTTCTGTGATGGGCTTAATGATACCTAACTTAACCATATTTTCCGATTCTTTTTTCACTTCATCTCGTATGGCAAAGGGTATTTTTCTTGCAGACCTTATTTCAAACTTTGGATCAATATTGTATTCATAATTTTTTAAACAACCCAATCCTTGAAAAATGCTATTACTGGACTTTGTTGTCTTGCAGGAATGTACACGTACAATTAAACCTACGATTTTCTTCCTAGAATAAGGAAACACCCTGTACACATAATTATGTTTAAGATTGGCAAGTCTGTAAATAACAAGTAAAATTTTTACATTAAAATTATTTCAGGGGATAGATTTAGACAAATACGAAATAGTTCACCTACCCACCTTTCCCTCCGACACCGACGAATCATCGTTTTCAGACTGGGCCGAAGAAATGTCGGAAGCCAAAAATAGAAGGTAACCTACATCCTAGTAGTAAATATCTAATTTTATTAATACATTTACAATTTAGATCAAACAGAAGAAAGCCCAAATCATCTTCAGAAAATGATGAAGATGATGATACAGATTTGACAGAAGATACAGTCCAAACTGATTCTGATGATTCGCACCATGAAAGAAGCGAAAGAAGATCCAGAAATCATAGAACTTCTAAGGTAAGAATTGAGACAATTTTGTTTCTTAGAAAGTCAAATGTTATTTTATTTGTAGCGAAAAACTAGAAAATCTTTCCCAAAAGCTTCAGTTCCCAAAAACCCACTTATTTCCAAAAAAGACCCGAGCCCAAAAACAGCTCAAACTGCCAAACACACTGCTGCAGAACCTTCTACAAGTGGAGAGGCCAGCACTTCTAAAGGACCAAAGATAAAAGTAACAAGTTTTTTTTTTTAAATATTAACAAACTAATTAATCATATAACAGGTATCTGAACAATATAAACTAAGCGAATGGCTATCAGAAACTAGACCAAGAAAATCACCATATTATCCACAAATACATGACGAAATTGTTTATTTTATTCAAGGTAAATATTTTATATAAGTCACTAAAAACTTAATTAATCAATCAACCAATATTTTAGGTCACTTACTATACGTAGAAGCAGTCAAACTAAAAAACGTCTACGAACCCAACATAAAAGAACTCCCTTGGGTCAAAGGAATGCAACTAAAAGACCACGAATTTTGTAAAGTCGTTGGAATACGTTACGAAATCCAACCGCCAAGATTGTGTTGCCTGAAACTGTCTCTGCAAGACGAATCCGGCCGAGCCACAGGCAAAACATTCACTATACGTTTCCACGATATGCCAGACGTTTTGGATTTTTTCGTTTTAAAGCAAAGCTACTTGACAGCGATGTCGCGTGATTGGCAAAACGGCGAAAGGTTTCGTTGTATGATTGACGATAATTGGTGGATTGGAGAAATAGCGGGCAAATCACCAGCTAGCGATGTTTATCCAGATTCAGCGTTTATGTGTTACGAAATTTGTTGGACCAATGGAGAGCAAGAGAGGATGAGTCCTTGGGATATGGAACCAGTTGATGAAAGCCGTAAGGAATATTTGGTTGTTGATTGGGTATATATTTTGTTAAATTAAGTTTTTTTAGGACTTCCGGAAGACGAAAAAGAAGCAGTGCCAGTTTTGGAACACGAATTGCGTTCGATTTTATATAAAGCTGTGCCAGAAGATTGGCCTAATTGCGAACTTGAAACTGCTTGTCAGTCTATTGCAAGAGGGATTACTCAGGTAAGTAATTTTTGTGTTATATTATTTTATACAATTATTTTTATTTTAGGTGATGGAATTGGCTATTGCAGAACCATTCTTGGTTCCTGTAGATATAAATGCATATCCCACTTATGCTCTTATTGTAGAGTACCCGATTGATTTATCCACAATTAAAGCCCGGTTTGAGAACAATTTTTATAGGTAAGTGAGTTTTTTTTTGGGGTGCATGAAGCAATATTTAAGTTGTTATTTTTAGGCGGATGTCGGCTGCCCAGTTTGACATCAGCTATTTGGAAACCAACGCTGCCAAGTTCAACCAACAACGCAGCGTTATTGTGAAACACGCGAAGATTTTGGCAGAGTTGTGTTTGAAAATTGTCAAGTAAGAATTTTAGTCTGAAATATAGATACTTCTTATGAGAATTTAGGATTCGGTCAATTTTTCTGAAAATTTGATATATCAATATTCTGTTTAAAAGTGTCTGTAGATACAACTTGATCCTATGACTAGTTTTTGAGATACAGGGTATTAAAGCACTATTCTTGGGAAAACTGTAATTTACTGTAAAGAACCGGTTTTAGTGTAGAACTTTTTTAAAAATATATTTATTGAAACCTATCATTAATATTAAACCTGATAATATTCTACTGTACCGAGGTACAAAAAAATCATTTCTCTCTTAATTATTCTACAATTACAGGAAGTTCATTAGAATTTGCATGGTATTCAGCTTCTTAAACTAGTTCCAGAATATTATGATTTGGATATTGAATATGCGGTCATGTCTTGGAAAGGGAAGAAACCAAATAAAGCTGGCTACATCCCTAGTGTTCCTATATTAGCTTTCCATTGACAGTAGTATCTGATAATCAAAGAATTTTCTTGATTTACCATTTCTTGGTAATTATTATAAGCCGTCTCTTCTTCTAGCCTATTTCCGTCCACTGCTGACAGGCCTCTTCCATCATCTTCCATCGATTCCTGTCTTGGGCCGCCAGGATCATATGTTGGAGATTCGCTATCTGTTTTTCTACGTAGCTCATTTGCACTTATAGTTCCTGAGAAAATATCATGTTAAGTAAGCAATTTGGGGAGATTTATCAATTTTTCAGTGCCTTTTTTCATAGATTTTTAGATTATTTAGTGTATGGAGTTTGGGGGATGTTGATTGACTATTAGGATACAAAATCTCGATAAGAAAAAATTTGAAATTTCATCGTTTTAGTAAGAAGCCTTACCTACCTTATGATTTAGATTTTGGAAAACTTTGAAAGGGCATAACTTTTTTTCTATTATAGTTAGAAAGCTGAAACTTTCACTGAATCTTATCCCAATCAAGGGACTACAAGCCCTGAAAATTTCAGCTCATTTGCACTTATAGTTTCTGACATAAAATCGTGTTAAGCAATTTGGGGTGATTTGTCAATTTTTCAATTTTTCTGAGTGCCTTTTTTCATAGATTTCGGCTTCAAATCTGAGAATAATTTAGTGTATGAAGTTTGGGGGATGTTGATTGACCATTAGGATACAAAATCTCGACAAGAAAAAATTTGAAATTTCATCGTTTTAGTAAGAAGGTACCTACCTTATGATTTAGATTTTGGAAAACTTTGAAAGGGCATAACTTTTTTTCTATTATAGTTGGAAAGCTGAAACTTTCACTGAATTTTATCCCAATCAAGGGACTACAAGCCCTGAAAATTTCAGCTCATTTGCACTTATAGTTTCTGAGATAAAATCGTGTTAAGCAATTTGGGGTGATTTGTCAATTTTTCAATTTTTCTGAGTGCCTTTTTTCATAGATTTCGGCTTCAAATCTGAGAATAATTTAGTGTATGAAGTTTGGGGGATGTTGATTGACCATTAGGATACAAAATCTCGACAAGAAAAAATTTGAAATTTCATCGTTTTAGTAAGAAGGTACCTACCTTATGATTTAGATTTTGGAAAACTTTGAAAGGGCATAACTTTTTTTCTATTATAGTTGGAAAGCTGAAACTTTCACTGAATTTTATCCCAATCAAGGGACTACAAGCCCTGAAAATTTCAGCTCATTTGCACTTATAGTTTCTGAGATAAAATCGTGTTAAGCAATTTGGGGTGATTTGTCAATTTTTCAATTTTTCTGAGTGCCTTTTTTCATAGATTTCGGCTTCAAATCTGAGAATAATTTAGTGTATGAAGTTTGGGGTATGTTGATTGACCATTAGGATACAAAATCTCGACAAAAAAAATTTGAAATTTCATCATTTTAGTAAGAAGGTACCTACCTTATGATTTAGATTTTGGAAAACTTTGAAAGGGCATAACTTTTTTTCTGTTATAGATAGAAAGCTGAAACTTTCACTGAATTTTATCCCAATCAAGGGACTACAAGCCCTGAAAATTTCAGCTCATTTGCACTTATAGTTTCTGAGATAAAATCGTGTTAAGCAATTTGGGGTGATTTGTCAATTTTTCAATTTTTCTGAGTGCCTTTTTTCATAGATTTCGGCTTCAAATCTGAGAATAATTTAGTGTATGAAGTTTGGGGGATGTTGATTGACCATTAGGATACAAAATCTCGACAAGAAAAAATTTGAAATTTCATCGTTTTAGTAAGAAGGTACCTACCTTATGATTTAGATTTTGGAAAACTTTGAAAGGGTATAACTTTTTTTCTATTATAGTTAGAAAGCTGAAACTTTCACTGAATTTTATCCCAATCAAGGGACTACAAGCCCTGAAAATTTCAACTCATTTGCACTTATAGTTTCTGAGATAAAATCGTGTTAAGCAATTTGGGGTGATTTGTCAATTTTTCAATTTTTCTGAGTGCCTTTTTTCATAGATTTCGGCTTCAAATCTGAGAATAATTTAGTGTATGAAGTTTGGGGGATGTTGATTGACCATTAGGATACAAAATCTCAATAAGAAAAAATTTGAAATTTCATCGTTTTAGTAAGAAGGTACCTACCTTATGATTTAGATTTTGGAAAACTTTGAAAGGGCATAACTTTTTTTCCATTATAGATAGAAAGCTGAAACTTTCACTGAATTTTATCCCAATCAAGGGACTACAAGCCCTGAAAATTTCAGCTCATTTGCACTTATAGTTTCTGAGATAAAATCGTGTTAAGCAATTTGGGGTGATTTGTCAATTTTTCAATTTTTCTGAGTGCCTTTTTTCATAGATTTCGGCTTCAAATCTGAGAATAATTTAGTGTATGAAGTTTGGGGTATGTTGATTGACCATTAGGATACAAAATCTCGACAAAAAAAATTTGAAATTTCATCATTTTAGTAAGAAGGTACCTACCTTATGATTTAGATTTTGGAAAACTTTGAAAGGGCATAACTTTTTTTCTGTTATAGATAGAAAGCTGAAACTTTCACTGAATTTTATCCCAATCAAGGGACTACAAGCCCTGAAAATTTCAGCTCATTTGCACTTATAGTTTCTGAGATAAAATCGTGTTAAGCAATTTGGGGTGATTTGTCAATTTTTCAATTTTTCTGAGTGCCTTTTTTCATAGATTTCGGCTTCAAATCTGAGAATAATTTAGTGTATGAAGTTTGGGGGATGTTGATTGACCATTAGGATACAAAATCTCAATAAGAAAAAATTTGAAATTTCATCGTTTTAGTAAGAAGGTACCTACCTTATGATTTAGATTTTGGAAAACTTTGAAAGGGTATAACTTTTTTTCTATTATAGTTAGAAAGCTGAAACTTTCACTGAATTTTATCCCAATCAAGGGACTACAAGCCCTGAAAATTTCAACTCATTTGCACTTATAGTTTCTGAGATAAAATCGTGTTAAGCAATTTGGGGTGATTTGTCAATTTTTCAATTTTTCTGAGTGCCTTTTTTCATAGATTTCGGCTTCAAATCTGAGAATAATTTAGTGTATGAAGTTTGGGGGATGTTGATTGACCATTAGGATACAAAATCTCAATAAGAAAAAATTTGAAATTTCATCGTTTTAGTAAGAAGGTACCTACCTTATGATTTAGATTTTGGAAAACTTTGAAAGGGCATAACTTTTTTTCCATTATAGATAGAAAGCTGAAACTTTCACTGAATTTTATCCCAATCAAGGGACTACAAGCCCTGAAAATTTCAGCTCATTTGCACTTATAGTTTCTGAGATAAAATCGTGTTAAGCAATTTGGGGTGATTTGTCAATTTTTCAATTTTTCTGAGTGCCTTTTTTCATAGATTTCGGCTTCAAATCTGAGAATAATTTAGTGTATGAAGTTTGGGGTATGTTGATTGACCATTAGGATACAAAATCTCGACAAAAAAAATTTGAAATTTCATCATTTTAGTAAGAAGGTACCTACCTTATGATTTAGATTTTGGAAAACTTTGAAAGGGCATAACTTTTTTTCTGTTATAGATAGAAAGCTGAAACTTTCACTGAATTTTATCCCAATCAAGGGACTACAAGCCCTGAAAATTTCAGCTCATTTGCACTTATAGTTTCTGAGATAAAATCGTGTTAAGCAATTTGGGGTGATTTGTCAATTTTTCAATTTTTCTGAGTGCCTTTTTTCATAGATTTCGGCTTCAAATCTGAGAATAATTTAGTGTATGAAGTTTGGGGTATGTTGATTGACCATTAGGATACAAAATCTCGACAAAAAAAATTTGAAATTTCATCATTTTAGTAAGAAGGTACCTACCTTATGATTTAGATTTTGGAAAACTTTGAAAGGGCATAACTTTTTTTCTGTTATAGATAGAAAGCTGAAACTTTCACTGAATTTTATCCCAATCAAGGGACTACAAGCCCTGAAAATTTCAGCTCATTTGCACTTATAGTTTCTGAGATAAAATCGTGTTAAGCAATTTGGGGTGATTTGTCAATTTTTCAATTTTTCTGAGTGCCTTTTTTCATAGATTTCGGCTTCAAATCTGAGAATAATTTAGTGTATGAAGTTTGGGGGATGTTGATTGACCATTAGGATACAAAATCTCAATAAGAAAAAATTTGAAATTTCATCGTTTTAGTAAGAAGGTACCTACCTTATGATTTAGATTTTGGAAAACTTTGAAAGGGTATAACTTTTTTTCTATTATAGTTAGAAAGCTGAAACTTTCACTGAATTTTATCCCAATCAAGGGACTACAAGCCCTGAAAATTTCAACTCATTTGCACTTATAGTTTCTGAGATAAAATCGTGTTAAGCAATTTGGGGTGATTTGTCAATTTTTCAATTTTTCTGAGTGCCTTTTTTCATAGATTTCGGCTTCAAATCTGAGAATAATTTAGTGTATGAAGTTTGGGGGATGTTGATTGACCATTAGGATACAAAATCTCGACAAGAAAAAATTTGAAATTTCATCGTTTTAGTAAGAAGGTACCTACCTTATGATTTAGATTTTGGAAAACTTTGAAAGGGCATAACTTTTTTTCTATTATAGTTAGAAAGCTGAAACTTTCACTGAATTTTATTCCAATCAAGGGACTACAAGCCCTGAAAATTTCAGCTCATTTGCACTTATAGTTTCTGAGATAAAATCTGAAAAAAAATTCAAATTCTATCGTGAATACGACTATACCTAAGTACCTTATGATTTAGATATTGGAAAACTTTGAAAGGTCATAACTTTTTTTCTATTATAGATAGAAAGCTGAAACTTTTACTGAATTTTATCCCAGTCAAGGGACTACAATCCCTGAAAGCGGTCATGGTTCAGAATATACCGAAAGCTTTTAGTTGGGAGTGTGTAGGCATTCTGGCTCAAAACAAAAATGAGACAAAGAGACACTCCCCCTACCACTGAAGATACAACCATCCCCTGCGCCCTCTATGAATCTCCCTATCACACAACTCACTTAAGATACTACCATCCCCCTACCACTCAAAATACAACCATCCTCTACGTCCTTTATGAATCCCCCTATCATACAATTTACTCAAGATACAACTATCCCCCTACCGCGCCCTGTATCCCCCTATCGCGCCCTCTATCCCCCTACCTTTCAAGATACTACACACAACCATCCCTTTATGTTTTATGCTGTTTTTTAAGGATTTTGTGCTTCATTTTCTTGGTTAATGTGCTAAATTTTGCTGGTTTTGTTCTAGATTTTGCTGGTTTTGTTCTAAATTTTGCTGGTTTTATGCTGGTTTAGCTGGTTTTTACTGGTTTCGTGCTGGTTTTGTTTAGGATTTTGCCAGTTTTGTACTAAATTTTGCTGATTTTATTCTGGATTTTGCTGGTTTAGCTGGTTTTCATCTGACTTGGAAGGGGGATTGCTTGAGATCGTAACTAGGGGGAGTAACTACAGGAAAATTCCGGTGGAGGGATTTGTGCGCGATAGGGGAATGGTTGTATCTTCAGTGGTAGGGGGAGTGTCTCTGTTTTGAGCCAGAACGCCTACTAACTCCCTACTGCTTTTCCTAACAATCCACTAGAAAAATCAAGGATAATGAACTCGATAAGGTTATCTGGATTATTTAGGATCGAATATGTTCCAATTAAGAATCGTTCTCAATAACTCTGACGCACATCATCTTTGATGCTTTCTTTGTTTATGCTCTGAAGATGTGACAAATGACAATGTCATTCGTTATTTGCACCTTGTTCGTTTGACGTAGAGAAGGGTTTTTCGATATATCGATATTATTATGAGAAAATATCGATAAGTGTCATTTTGTAAAAAATTGATTTTCGATCATTTTCCAACCATTAATAACCGGAACTCCCCAGTTGACACTCAGCAAACAAATAGGTATTGACAATCAAGGATATCAAACTAAAAAAGGTTGAATTATTTGAAATCAAATTCCTTTGTTCCATATGACGTCACCGTAGTTTTGAATAAAAATTCAAAAGCCCATGGTTCCTTAAGTTAATAGATTGTCTGGTGATGCGTAACTCGATGACGTCATCAGGGTTTCAAAATGATTGTCGTTAACATATTCCCAAGCCAACTATGATATATTCAGATTTCACTCACAGGGCCGGTTTCTCAATAGCGAGTCACCCCCGAATTGGTTATAACTCCAGGGTTAATGTGTAAAATTGCACTATTTATCCTGGAGTTAGCTTAACCTGAAGGTCACCTGCTATTGAGAACCGGCCCTTAGGGCCGGTTTCTCAATAGCGAATCTTGAGGCAAATCACTTCCGGGTTGGTTTTAACTCCAGGATAAGCGTGTACAATTGCTATGTTTACCCTGAAGTTTTACTTAACTCGGAGGTAACTTACTATTGAGAAAGCGGCCATAAGAAAGTAGATGGAGGTACTATCATTTCCACTGACCAAAAGCATTTCCTAAAAATCCAACTGTCTTCAGCTCATTTGCACCTATATTTTCTGAGATAAAATCGTGTTAAGCAATTTGGGGTGATTTGTCAATTTTTCAATTTTTCTGAGTGCCTTTTTTCATAGATTTCGGCTTCAAATCTGAGAATAATTTAGTGTTTGGAGTTTGGGGTATGTTGATTGACCGATTTCAGCTCAATTGCACTTATAGTTCCTGAGATAAAATCGTGTTAAGCAATTTGGGGTGATTTGTCAATTTTTCTGAGTGCCTTTTCTCATAAATTTCGGCTTTAAATCTGAGAATAATTTAGTGTATGGAGTTTGGGGGATGTTGATTGACCATTGGGATACAAAACCTCGTCAAAAAAAATTTGAAATTTCTTCGTTTTAGTAAGAAGGACCTTATGATTTAGATTTTGAGAAACTTTGAAAGGGCATAACTTTTTTTCTGTTATAGATAGAAAGCTGAAACTTTCACTGAATTTTATCCCAGTCAAGGGATTACAATCCCTGAAAATTTCAGCTCATTTGCACCTATAGTTTCTGAGATAAAATCGTGTCAAGCAATTTAAGGTGATTTATCAATTTTTCTGAGTGCCTTTTTTCATAGATTTCGGCTTCAAATCTGAGAATAATTTAGTGTATGCAGTTTGGGGGATGTTGATTGACCATTAGGATACAAAATCTCGATAAAAAAAATTTGAAATTTCATCGTGTTTTAGTAAGAAGGCTTTCGATCTTCCAACTATATTCTATATTTTCGCATGAGCATGTCATTACTCCCCCTTCCATATTTTCAATGTGATGATTCACTAACATTGGCAATATTTCCAAAGTCTGGAGTTATTCCTCAATTTCAAGACTCATAACTTTCAAAGAGCTGTTTTCTTAAAGATGGTGGTTCTGTAGAGCAGTTCAGCTAGAAACTTAATAATTCTATATTGCTTCATATTTCAAAACCTCCTTAGGCTGAAGACACAATGACAAATACAAGGTACAAGAGACAGATACAAAATACCAAAAAATTGAAATTTTGTATTGAGTCATGGCAAGTAAATTGTATCCTGTATCCATTTATTCTGGGTTATAGCACAGAATATATAGGTACCTATATATTCTGTGGTTATAGCATTAATACACGTGTTATTATATTTTTGTCGTTTGTCACTTGTATCTTGTATTTGTCATTGTGTCTTCAGTCTAAAGGAATAATAAGGCGATTTTGATAAGTCAAAATATCTCAAGGATTATAAAAGTTGTCGAAAGCGGAGGTGGTGCACCATGAAACACTATATAAACTATATAAATATGACACTTTTCTAATGTTAATAAAGTAATATATAGTCTTTCCAGAGTCAGTTGAAACAATGTAAAGGTAAATCACATTTGGTGACTGGATATTTTCATAAGAAATGCACTGCCACTAGTCAGCCACCAGTTGCAATTTATTATTACCGTGTTTCAATTGAATTTGGACATACTATACCAAATATCATATCAAATTTTCAGAAAAATTTACCGAATCTGAAAATCCCATAAGAAATGCTTTTACTTTTACTCTATACTTCTTTTGTATGTATGTATTATTGAAATAAGTAAATAACTATTTCAGAAGCGGCAATGATTCTATTGATATTGCTGCAGTGTATCACCAGTTGGTTGCTGGATATGATTCGTCCGACACTGAAGGTAATTTATCATCTTTAGAAAAGTTTGGTTTCAATTTAATAGAATTTTTAGAAGAAGTAGAAGTAGAGGAAGACATTTCCAAGCCATCAACTAGTCGTGCACCGCGCTATTTGCCAGTTAGGTCCTGGAAATCTCCAGACGATTGGAAAATCGAAGCTAGCGGTCTTGTGGAGCTTATGATGCAATCTGAAGATTCTGTACCTTTTCGGTTTCCGGTTAACAAGCATAAGTATCCTACATACCTAGAAGTAAGTTTTCATCTACATAGAAAAAATGTATGGCAAATTATTTTTTGTAGATTATTGAGACTCCTATGGATTTGGGAACAGTAAAGGACAATCTTCAGAAAGGTGCCTATCGTCAACCGAAAGAGTTTTGCATGGATATTAGGTTGATTTTTCAAAATTCCAGGACTTTTAACACAAACAAACGATCTAGGGTGAGAATCCTCTACAACAACTTGTGTTATATTTATGTATTAAATTATTCTTTTTAGATTCATGAGATGACAGTTCGTTTATCAGCTTTGTTTGAGGAGCATATGAAAAAAATCATGACAAATTGGCGTATAACAAAGAAACGTCAACGTCGTCAGCTGGCAACATCTTCTTCAGATGACAGTAGCTGTAGTAGTAGTAGTAGTGACGCTAAAGAAGTACCACCTAAAACTCCTCCAAAACAAGAAGCTCCTAAAGTAATTGTAGAAAGAATCGAAAACGGCATGTACAACGTCTCTGTAGATAAACTGAACAGTGACAGTGATAGTGATAATACACCTTTGGACGTAATAAAAGCCATGAACACATCAAACGAAAATAGTAAAACTTTAGATAAAGTAATTGAATCATTACAACAAAGATTGGATGGAGAAGAATTTGACCCAGAACCTTCAACGTCAAGTCAGAGTCAAATTGAAATCGAAGATTTGGATCACGATTATACTAACAAAAATTTGTCCACTGATACTGATCAGCCATCATCGAGTTCAAGAAGCAAAAGATTATTAAAAAATAACAATTACAAAGAAAAATCCTCAGACGATGAGATATATTATAGACTTCCTGCGCCTCGAAAATTTGAACCTCAAGATGAATCTTCATCAGATGTTAATAATTGTGAAGTTGAAGTTGGTACAAATCAAAGTAGTGATGATTCTGATGAAGATGATCCTTTGAGCTCAATACAAGCTCGTCAACTACAACGTAAAAAACAAACATCTTCAGATGACGAAAACGATGAAGATTTTTGTCCAGAAGACAGTTCGGGCAGTTCCAAAACCAAAACAAGACGCAAAAAAAAACCTAGCAGCTCAGAAGAAGAATTTGAAGTGCCTAGTCGCAAAAGCAGACGCGGTGGTGTAAGAAAAAAACGAAAATCTTCATTTGTTGTTGAGGAAGACGAAGATGAAGATCCTTCGAGTTCAGCTGAAAGCTCAGACGATGATGTTCCTTTGAGAAATGTACGGTTGAGGCGTAGCCCTAAGAAAAACAAACTCTATCAATCAACCGAATCGGATAGTGACGAGAGCAGATTGACTAGAAAACGACGGAAATTGATTAGCGATAGTCAATTGGACTCTGATAGTGATAGTAGGAACGGTAGGCCAGGGTATTTCGGTAATGTCAGTAGTCGAGGTCGATTGAGGAAAATAACAGAGAGGGCGGCTGCTTTTTTGAAAAAAGACAAAAAAGTAGGATGATGTCTTATGAGGTGCTTAGGCAAATTTAAAAATCGATACGAAGTGTGCTAGTAATAATAAATGTTATTTACTATTGTTGGTGAAGTAATTGAGGATATTTTGTTTGTTTAGTTTTTGGTTGTTGATGGTATGTGATTACAAAAAGGGGGACAAAAATAATTTTTGTAAATATTATTTTCTTTATATATTTTGAGAAAAAGCCTGTTTTTGTGTATTCTAGACATAATTAAACAGGTAAGTTGATTCTGATGGTGACATCTGTTAAATTGTTCTAGAAACTGAAACAAGCATAATTAGACTTTACCAAGCTGTATATTGGTTAAACAATTTGGTTTGAGACATCAACAGAAGTTATACAATGTATGAGACATTTTATTGCAGTTATTCTTTCACAGTTGATCAAATCTAGTGAAAAGGTTCATGATAGTTTTTTGGTATTTCTAATTTGCAACACTGATATTTTGTCCACATTTTAGGACAAACTATTACTATAGTCTTATTGTTTGAAGGATGCTTATCCTTGTTGTTCTGAGTACCTTTGATTTTATCAGCAAATTTTAAAATTGTTGCCTTCTGGTTGTCAAATACCATCAACAGTAATCTTGTCTAGTTAAATAAAAACTATATTTAAGTTCCAATTATTGTACTTTTTTTTTTAAAAAATCTCTGTAAATAATTTAATTTTTCCCAGGTCAATTATAGAAGTTTTTTTTACTAAATTATCTGGTCTATTGTGTAAATTTCTAGTTCTAATAATACTCTTATATATTTTTTTTAAAAGTTAAGACATTTTGTTGTGATTCAATTTGTTTAATAATAATAATTATTGTAAGTGTATATCCTATTTTAATATTATAATTTTTTTTGATCCCTGCAAAAAAACTGTACTTTGACTGATAAGTGATCAATAAAAAACAAAAATGAATACCTATCTATCAAGAATTTACCATAAACCACATTTTCCCCCCATCCATCTGTTGAATTTAAAAATGCATGTGGCTACAAAATAATTTATTTTTGAAACGGCAGTTGACGGGCCATCCTCGTGGTTTATTTTTACTTTGCACGGAAGAGGCCTTTTTGTATTGTATTGTATCGTATCTCAGTGTGTGGTTTATTTCCAACGACTCCATCACCGAAAATTTATACCTGCATTAAAACCTGTTAGATTTTTAACTTTTACCAAAATGTGGGGCATTTGAAAATAGTTTACGAAAGGGAAACTGTATCAAGTGTTTGAAAAGGTAAGTAAATATTGGTTTAATTATTGCATTAGATAATTTGATAGAGACCAATTAAATATGAAACTACGCATTCTGGTGCATTATGGTATTATTTACGGATGTTCAAGGTAAGCTGCTTCTACCTGTGAAATTATTGAACATCAATATTAGCAAATGTTTGTTTTAATTCAAAAATCATATTGCCTAACCTTAAATATTATATCATAGAGAAAGTTTTCATTATTGGCCTAGAAAGAGAATACTAATCTTTATTTGCCTGAAACTATATTAAAAATCATGCTTTTAGCAATTTAGGATTCAATGCAAATCCTTGTGTGATTATTGATTTTTGGAATCCAAATTTGGATATTGACTAATAATTTAAATTGATAACACAGGGAGAGGAGTATAAACTCGATAAGATTTAAGTTAGGTCCCGGCTTCCTACCAGCATAGCCTTTAATTTAATCTACTTAATACTTATATAAATGTTAAATAAGGTCTAGATAGAATGACTTAAACTCTCAGCTCATTCTATTAGTATTTCAACCATAGACAATTTGCCTATTAAATTCTTATGAGTAGCTACAAAAATCGTTTTAATACTTGCACACACTAAATAAATTTTAATTTCAAATTGGCTTTTCGAAACATTCAAATCTAAAAATTGATTTTCCTTTTAGAATCAGTTGTAGTTGTTGTTGCCATTTTACATTTTAAATTCTTGAATATTCATTTACCATTAGCAAAAACACAATGCATTTAGGGTCAAAGGCACCCTAGTCTTTTTGAAATATTCATGTCTCTAGACCTTCTGTTATTCTCCTGAAAATGCTCTTTTTCTGTTTTGAAAATATTCTGGGGTCCCAGATTTGTTTGGAGGAGATGCAAAAGGAAAGGCATAGGGAGTTTCAACCCTAAAGCTAAATGGGAACATTTTCTATAATTATTCCATATCTGAATTTGAACAATATTCTATCATGAACATATAATATATTTTTTGTTTTTATTAAATCAATTAAAATGTATTTTCCATTAAATAGTTGTTCAACATTTTTTCAAATTATTTATTTATTGATTTCTGTGTTTTTAATAATTTATCTAAAATCATTAAGGACCTTTATAAAAAATATAATTTTATATGTAGAATTCTTACAAAAATTACTATTACATATTAATAATACGGGTACAATAGTCCATGGATTATCTAAATTTTGAGTCATATAAGTAGGTAATTCCCAATGATTTGGAAGCAAATTATTATGAATAATTTTTGTAAATAAAAATTCAAACAAGATAATATTGAATTTTTCGCATTTAGCCGCTGTAATTTATTTAGTATAATTATAATTTTTGTAAACATATTTATCTTTATTCAATTAATATATTAGTCATCATTCTATATTGCAAAACTTGTTAGTATTTTTATAGTTTCATCATCCACGGAATATAAGTTGATAGTTCCAAAATAAAGAAAATAAATAAGTAGAATGTAATAGCTACCTTATGATTTAGATTTTGGAAAACTTTGAAAGGTCATAACTTTTTTTCTATTATAGATAAAAAGCTGAAAATTTTCAGCGATTCTTATCCCAGTAGAGGACTACAATCCTTGAAAATTTCACCTCATTTGGGCTCATAGTTCCTGAAATAAAATCGTATTAAGGAATGTGGGGTGATTTATCAATTTTTCAATTTCTCTGAGTGCATTTTTTCATATAATCTGGCTCCAAATCTGAGAATAATTTAGTGAATGGAGTTTGGGGGATCTCAAAGGACCATTTCGATACAAAATCTTGACAAAAAAAATTTGAAATTTCATCGTTTTAGTCAGAAGGTAAATACCTACCTTATTATTTAGATTTTGAAAAACTTTGAAAGGTCATAACTTTTTTTCTATTATAGATAGAAAGCTGAAACTTTCACTGAATTGTATCCCAATCAAGGGACCCTGAAAAATTCAGCTCATTTGCAGTTATAGTTCCTGAGACAAAATCGTGTTAAGCAATTTGGGGCGATTTATAAATTTTTCAATTTTTCTGAGTGCCTTTTTTCATAGATTTTGACTTCAAATCTGAGAATAATTTAGTATATCGACTTTGGGGGATGTTGATTGACTATAAGGATAAAAAATCTCGACAAAAAAAAAATTAAAATTTCATCGTTTTAGTAAGAAGGTACCTACAGGTACATAATTTTTTGCAGGTTTAGGTATGTTTTTATCTGAATCCAAAACACTCCCATTCCACTTCGCGACCTTCGCGTTATCGTACCGTTATACTAAGCATTTGAGCATATGCCTAAGATACTTGAGTTCAAGCTAGAAAATGAATGAATGCTCAGCTTGTGTTTATTTATACCAAGCAACAGTATATAAAAGCTCAGACTCTGCCCTCATACTTCAAACATTTACGGCTCAGCTACCTTATGATTTAGATTTTGAAAAAACTTTGAAAAGTCATAACTTTTTTTCTATTATAGATAGTAAGTAGAAATTTTCAGCGATTTTCATCCCAATAGAGGACTACAATCCCTGAAAATTTCAACTAATTTGGACTTATAGTTCCAGAAATAAAATAGTGTTAAGCAATTTGGGATGATTTATCAATTTTTCAATTTTTCTGAGTGCCTTATTTTTCCATAGATTTTGGCTCCAAACCCCAGAATAATTTAGTATATGGATATTGGGGGATACCAAATGACCATTAGAACACAAAATCTCCAAAAAAAATTGAAATTTCATCGTTTTAGTAAGAAGGTAACTACCTTAAGATTTAGATTTTGGAAAACTTTGAAAGGTCATAACTTTTTTCTATTAAAAATAGAAAGCTGAAATTTTTAGCGATTCTTATTATTCCAGTAAAAGACTACATAATCTCTGAAAATTTCAGCTCATTTGGGCATATAGTTCCAGAAATAAAATCGGGTCAGGCAATTTGGGCTGATTTATTAATATTTCAGTTTTTCTGAGTGCCTTTTTTCATAGAATCCGGCTCCAAATCTCGGAATAATCTAGTGTATCGAGCTTGGGGAATCCCAAAGGACCATAAGGAAACAAAATTTCAACAAAAAAAGCATTGAAATTTCATCGTTTTAGTGAGAAGGTAGCTACCTTATGATACAGATTTTGGAAAACTTTGAAAGTTCATAACTTTTTTTCTATTATAGATAAAAAGCTGAAATTTTCAGTGATTCTTATCCCAGTAGAAGACTACAATCCCTGAAAATTTCAGCTCATTTGGACATATAGTTCCAGAAATAAAATCGTGTTAAGCAATTTGGGGTAATATATCAAATTTTCAATTTCTCTGAGTGCCTTTTTGCATTACAATCTGGCTCCAAATCTGAGAATAATTCGGTGTATGGAGTTTGGGGAATCCCAAAGCACCATTTGGATATAAAATCTCGACAAAAAAAAAAATTAAAATTTCATCGTTTTAATAAGAACCTTATGATTTAGATTTTGGTAAACTTTGAGGGGTCATTACTTTTTTTCTATCAAAGATGGAAAGCTGAAATTTTCAGCGATTCTTATCCCAGTAGACGACTACAATCCCCGAAAAGGCTCATTTGGACTTAGAGTTCCAAAAATAAAATCGTGTCAAGCAATTTGGGGTGATTTATCAATTTTTCAATTTTTCTAAGTGGCTTTTTTCATAGATTCCGACTCCAAATCTCAAAATAATTAAGTGTATGAAGTTTGGGGGATCCCAAAGGATCATTAAGTCACAAAATCTCAAGAACAACAAGGTACTCAGCCTTAGGATTTAGATTTTGGGAAACTTTGAAAGGAATTTTTGTTCAATTTCTCTAAGTAGGTAGTGAAAATTCAGAGGAATTTGGGATAGAAAAAAAAAAAGAAATTAAGAGCCTGGAATAGAAGAATTATGTCTACCAATGTACCAATTCTGTCTCAATTATCAAATTTCTTTTTTTCTAAATCTTTTTCACAAAGGAAAAATTGGATAATTCAAGAATCACAAAAAAATTCAAGAGCCTGGAATAGGAAAATAATGTCTACCAATTCTATCTTAATTCCTTAATTTAATTTCTTCCTCCAGATTTTTGTTTCAGGTATTTTTGACTTTGGGTTTTCTTTCAAATTTTTCTAATTCTGAGAAGAAAATTTCAGGAGCCGCAAAAACAAACATCTTTTCTACCAAATATTTCTCATTTCTTCTCAAATATTTCCTCAAGCTTTTCTTGAGACATTTTTTTTTCAAGTAAAATCGTGAATCAGAAACTTGGAAAATTCTGAGAAAGACTTATAATAATTGGCATATTTGCGTGATGCTTTTGGAACGAAATTACAGAAAATTTTGGAAAAGAATATCTGAGTTTCTCATTGAAGACATTCTATTACTGGAATTAAATTTTAATATTTTTCATCCAAAGCTTAATTTCGTGTATAGTTAATTGTTGTCAATATCTACACTATTATTCTTCTTAAAAATATTTAATTTTTGAGATATGTATTTTAGCATTAAATTATTTAGCTTTGAATCAAATTGAATACCTACAACATTTATAAATTCCAAATGGTCTAATAGTGGAGTAAAATCACAATGAAATTATAACTTTAAGTGATTCCGAGGTATAACCAGATGAAACCTTTATCATCTTCTAGAGGACACTCTGGGGCATAGGAAATGGGAATGTACAACTTTTTTTAGTAGGACTGAAATTTGAAATCGGCCCTTAAACGTGACTGAGCTCGAATTTGAAAAACTACTTTTTTCTAAATATTACCCGCTGTATTAATTTAAGCATACAATCTAAAATTCTGATTTTTTGCACACTTATACTTGAAACATGAGCGCTTCTAATGACAGTTCAGAAATTTTGAAAAGGTTTAAGGTTTTTTTTGTTAAAAAGTTAGGAATATAGAAATATCAAAATCGTGCATCTAAAACTTCACCCTGCGGTGAGCTATGTGAATTATTGAAAATTTCTATACATATATATCGAATCAAATGTAGTAAAAACATTGACGAAGTTTTTGAAATATGGTTATAGAAATATGAATTTTTATCCGGGAGCTTTGAAATGCGCTCTGATGCTGATAGCGGCTAGCGGCTACCATTCTGGAAATCATCTGCGTTAGTGCGTTAGTGCGTTAGCGCGTTAGCGTTACATCTAGAAATAAAATAAAAAAATCTATAAACATAAAGTAATTGATTGAATCCTTTTTTATGAAGTTAGTTTAAATATTTTCTCCTTCGTCATCCTCATATAAATCAGGAACATTATTTTGACAACTTTTGCAGGAACAATCGCTGCAGCATGTTAAACCCTCTTTCAAGCAGACACATTTATTATTTATAATTTATCTTCGCAGAAGACATCCATTAGTTGCCTAATATCCATTGGTATGGGATCAGCAGTCATCAAAACAGGCTCAAAAATTCCATTTTTCCTAGTTCAACCAAAGTTAACAGGGTCAAGTATAGGCATAAAAGGTATATGACTGGATATCCATATACGCAGTTGATATATGCACCTGAAATTTTGTTTATCGCATAAATACAGCTTCTTTTGTTATATATACACCTAGCTCAGTACATGCTGGTAAAATGCATCATCTGTGAGTAGAAGTTCAGAAGCGGATTTATTGGAAGATGTGGTCAATTGATATCTCAATTCATCGAGGGGTTTTAGGGCCTCGTTCTTATTTCTGAATAGGGCCAATGCAAATTTGGTGGCAATATAAGGTTCCAAGATTTTTAGAAAATACATTTTTTGCCTTTGCATTTGTGGTATCGCATCCTGTTGACACATGCAACGCTAGTAAACATTTATAAACTTCATTTTCCAGTTTCTGTATGTACTATTTATTGGAATGATCCGTTTTTTATTCCCCTTGTCCTAATTCCATACAAAGGTAGGTTTCTTTCAAAGAACTTACTTCAATAAATTCAGAATAGTGGTAAATAAGTAATACCAGAACATTTGCATCTGCAGACTTTACCAACACTTTTTTTTGGTGAAGTATCTGTTATTCATATAAGACGGGGATTATAAGTCATGCATCAGTCTCATCATGATCCGATTTCAAATCTTTCAATTCGGTTACACGGTTACACTATCCTTATTGACAGAAAAGCATAAGTCTGGGTTTTCAAAACCACCAGCGATGATCAGAGTTTCTTCTATTTGTCAGCTAATAGTCCAGGAGGCAGTGAAATTTTTTAGCACTTATTTTCCCAGTTGGTGTCTATTAAATAGTTTGTTCTCCTGGTGATACAAAGCAAGAATTTTTGAGTCTGGCTAAAATTTTCGGATGGATTCACAAGATCAATGAAAAATACAAGTACGTTTATTTTCCCAGACAAAAATATTTAAAATTTACTACAATAGAACATAAAGTATATGAAAATAGCAATTTGGCTTATCTCAGATAGTGAAAGTGAGTCTGGCTGAAAGTTTTCGGATCTTCAATTTTTCACTTGCCAGACATATTATCCATACTCACAGATTAGCCGGACTATTTTTTTACGTAACTCAGTATACTTCTCATTAGTAGACCTGTTTTTATCACTAAGAAAAAAAAGGGCCGTGCATTGGTAAGCTTTAACGCATTTAGCGCCTCAACCCATCGGAAAACCCCCCCTAAAAATATATGTATTTTGCTTAGAATTACTAACCCTACAATTCTATCCATGTTGTCTGACTGGGAAAATAAGTACCGAAAATCGTCACTGCCTTCTAACTAGTATAGTTATTTTATTTTTGAACTAGAAGAGTCCGCTACGCATATAAAACGTAATAAGTATTTTGGGCATTGAGTAAGTTAACCACACCCTCGGGCAGTAAATGACACTTACCGCCATCAATACCTAAATAACTATTAACTATCTACCAAAAGTAGCTTAAGTAGCTTGTTTTAGTAGCTAGCTACTTTTCACAGTAGCTTATGAATACTTGGACACATAGTTCCTGAGATAAAATCGTGTTAAGCAATGTGGGGTGATTTCTCAATTTTTCAATTTTTCTAAGTGGCTTTTTTCATAGATTCCGACTCCAAATCTGAAAATAATTTAGTGTATGAAGTTTGGGGAATCCCAAAGGATCATTAAGTCACAAAATCTCAAGAACAACAAGGTACTCAGCCTTAGGATTTAGATTTTGGGAAACTTTAAAAGTGAATTTTTGTTCAATTTCTCTAAGTAGGTAGTGAAAATTGAGAGGAATTTGGAATAGGGGAAAAAAAAGGAATTAAGAGCCAAAATTATCAAATTTCTTTTTTTCTAAAATTTTTTCACAAAGGAAAAATTGGATAATTCAAGAATCACAAAAAAAATTCAAGAGCCTGGAATAGAAAAATAATATCTACCAATTCTATTTTAATTCCTTAATTTAATTTTTCCCTCCAGATTTTTGTGTTTTAGTAAGCAGGTAGGTACTTGACTTTGGGTTTTGTTTCAAATTTATCTAATTCCGAGAAGAAAATTTCAAGAGCCGCAAAAACAAACATCTTTTCTACCAAATATTTCTTATTTCCTCTCAAATCTTTTCTCAAGCTTTTCTTGACACATTTCTTCAAGTAAAATTGTGAATCAGAAACTTGGAAAATTCTGAGAAAGGCTATAATAATTGGCATATTTGCGTGATGCTTTTAGAACAAAAAATTACAGAAAATTTTGTGTGTAGTACCCAAAAAAACAAGTTTCTCATTGAAGACACTCTATTACTGGAATTAAATTTTTAATAATTTTCATCCAAAGCTTATTGATTTCGTGTATAGTTAATTGTTTTCAATATCGACACTATACTAAGTATTCTTCTTAAAAATAATTAATTTTTTGAGATATGTATTTTAGCATTAAATTATTTAGCTTTGAATCAAATTGAATAGCTACAACATTTAAATGGAGTTAATAAATGCCAATTGGTCTAATAAATGTCCTGTTTTTACGTTTATAATTTTCAACAAACATACATTTGCTTTTTAATGTTTTTAATTTGAATTTGTTTACATTTAGATAATTAAAAATAATTATTTTTAGTTTAGAATTTTAAGCTGCTATTACACATTATCATTATCAACATAAGTTTAAAATTAATTTGCACTGCCTTTATATTATTTGGTTTTTAACCCATATTTCGATTTATGAACTTTGACTCATTTTCTTGTCTGTTTTTTTGGTTTTTCATTTTCAATTATCCTTCTTTTATCCATAATCCAATAAATAAGTAAGTTTTTTCTATTTCAGCCAAAAAAAAATTCTAAAATGGAAATAGCAGGAATCCAGTTTGCTCCGCTCAAAGTCCCTCTAGATAGAAGATTGCAAACATTAGCAGCAGGAGCCGGCTTCGTCTGGCTTATTTTCGGAGGCTTCATTTGCCTTATTTGGTCCATATACCTTGTCCTATTCACCAAATATTGGCTCTTGATTGTAGCCTATTTAGGTTGGTTCGTTTTGTGGGACATTAAAATTTCTGAGCAAGGTGGCCGGCCTTCGAGATGGGTCAGAAGCTGGAGGTAGGAACTCAGAACTGAATTGTTTAATACATATTAATTTTTGTTTCTAAATAGATGGTGGAAGTATATGAAAGATTACTTTCCAGCTGTGCTGGAAAGGTTGCCATGGGTGGAACTGGATCCAAAAAAAAACTACCTATTTTGCTGTTTTCCACATGGAATGTTATCTTTAGGAGTTTTTTGCACTTTTGGTAAGCAACAACGAAAAATAAAAACACATTTAATAACCAAATGAATTCCAGGTAGTGAATATGGGGAATTCAAAACCTATTTCCCCAATCATCAAGCGCATGTGGTAACACTCAATCAGCATTATATAATGCCATTTTTTAGAGAAATTGCATTGGCTTTAGGAGGTATTTCCGCTGAAGCCAGAGCCATAGATCATGTGTTGAAGAATCCAGAAGGTGGTCATGTTTGTGTACTCATGCCAGGGGGGGCACAGGAAAGTTACTATTGTAAACCTGGCCAGTATCAGATTGTATTGAAAAAAGTCAGTATTATTATTTTCATTTGTATGATGCTTTATTAGTTTTGTTTCTAGAGAAAAGGTTTCGTCAAATTGGCTCTGAAAAATGGTACGCCATTGGTGCCGGTACTATCGTTTGGTGAAACAGATACGTTTGATCAAGTCGAAGGTAATACTTTGAGGAAAATTCAAGAAACTATTAGGAGATGGATTGGGGTGGCTCCAGTGGTACCTGTTGGCAGGGGATTTTTCCAATACAGTTTTGGTTTAATACCGAGGAGAAAACCTATATGGGTTGTTGGTAGGTTTCAATTTCTTAGTAACCGTTGAGCAAATTGCATTAAAACTTTCAGGATTTGTAGCTCTTATTAAGCTCTAAACGGCCTGTGATTTACAATATTCCCAGATTTATAGTTTTTGAGCAAATTGAATTTGAAGTTTTTGACAAAATTTGGACTGAAAGGCAACTTTAAGGCTCAATTGCTCAAAAACTATTTGAGCCATCGAACTCATTTTTACGCGGATTTATAGAGAATTTAATGCTCTTTCCAATGGTATATAATTTCTTTCAATTTGCTCAAAATTTACCAAAGATATGGGCAATTGTTCATGACCATGTCAGGATTTTGAAAATTTTCCAGAGCCAAAAATAGGATTTTTTATTTTATTTTTGTGTCTGCTTAAAATGGCCATTTGGCATTGATATCAGGGTTGTTTTCCACTAATTTTGACCCGCTCTATCGATTCATAAAGTCAAAATTGAGCAAAACTGAAAAATTAAAAAATCGAATTTTTCATAAGGGTACCTACCCCCTTTGAATTCTGATTTCAAACCTCAATTGCTCGGTAACCGTTGAGCAAATTTCATTAAAATTTCCAGAATTTGTAGCTTTTACCAAGTTCTAAATGGCCTGTAATTTACAATATTTCTAGGTTTATAATTTTTGAGCAAATTGAGTTTAAAGTTTTTGACAAAATTTGGACTAAAAGTCAACTTTGAGGCTCAATTTTTCCAAGACTATTTGAGCTATCGAACTCAATTTTGTACAGATTTATAGAGAATTTAATGCTCTTTCTAATGAAGTATAATTTATTTCAATTTGCTTGAAATTTACCAGAGATATGAGCAATTGTTCATGACCATGTTAGGATTTTGAAAATTTTCCAGAGCAAAAAATAGGATTTATTTTTATTTTTGTGTTTGCTTAAAATGGCCATTTGATATTGATATCAGGGTTGTTTTCCACTAATTTTGACCCGCTCTATCGATTCATAAAGTCAAAATTGAGCAAAATTGAAAAATTAAAAAATCGAATTTTTCATAAGGGTACCTACCCCCTTTGAATTCTGATTTCAAAATATTCAAACCTCAATTGCTCGGTAACCGTTGAGCAAATTGCATTAAAATTTCCAGAATTTGTAGCTTTTATCAAGTTCTAAATGGCTTGTAATTTACAATATTTCTAGGTTTATAGTTTTTGAGCAAATTGAGTTTGAAGTTTTTGACAAAATTTGGACTAAAAGTCAACTTTGAGGCTCAATTGCTCAAAAACTAATCGAACTCAATTTTGCACAGATTTATAGAGAATTTAATGCTCTTTCCAATGATGTATAATTTATTTCAATTTGCTCAAAATTTACCAAAGATATGAGCAATTGTTCATGACCATGTCAGGATTTTGAAAATTTTTCAGAGCCAAAAAAAGGATTTTTTTATTATTTTTGTGTCTGCTTAAAATGGCCATTTGACATTGATATCAGGGTTGTATTCCACTAATTTTGACCCGCTCTATCGATTCATAAAGTCAAAATTGAGCAAAACTGAAAAATTAAAAAATCGAATTTTTCATAAGGGTACCTACCCCCTTTGAATTCTGATTTCAAAATATTCAAACCTCAATTGCTTGATAACCGTTGAGCAAATTGCATTGAAATTTTCGGAATTTGTAGCTTTTATTAAGTTCTAAATGGCCTATAATTTACAATATTTCCAGATTTATAGTTTTTGAGCAAATTGAGTTTGAAATTTTTGACAAAATTTGGACTAAAAGTCAACTTTGAGGCTCAATTGCTCAAAAAATATTCGAGCTATCGAACTCAATTTTGCACAGATTTATAGAGAATTTAATGCTCTTTCCAATAATGTATAATTTATTTTAATTTGCTGAAAATTTACCTAAGATATGAGTAATTGATCATGACCATGTCAGGATCTTGAAAATTTTCTAGAGCAAAAAATAGGATTTATTTTTATTTTTGTGTCTGCTTAAAATGGCCATTTGGCATTGATATCAGGGTTGTTTTCCACTAATTTTGACCCGCTCTATCGATTCATAAAGTCAAAATTGAGCAAAACTGAAAAATTAAAAAATCGAATTTTTCATAATTGAATTCTGATTTCAAAATATTCAAACCCTCATTGCTGGGTAACCGTTGAGCAAATTGCATTAAAATTTCCAGAATTTGTAGATTTTATCAAGTTCTAAATGGCCTGTAATTTACAATATTTCTAGGTTTATAGTTTTTGAGCAAATTGAGTTTGAAGTTTTTGACAAAATTTGGACTAAAAGTCAACTTTGAGGCTCAATTGCTCAAAAACTAATCGAACTCAATTTTGCACAGATTTATAGAGAATTTAATGCTCTTTCCAATGATGTATAATTTATTTCAATTTGCTCAAAATTTACCAAAGATATGAGCAATTGTTCATGACCATGTCAGGATTTTGAAAATTTTTCAGAGCCAAAAAAAGGATTTTTTTATTATTTTTGTGTCTGCTTAAAATGGCCATTTGACATTGATATCAGGGTTGTATTCCACTAATTTTGACCCGCTCTATCGATTCATAAAGTCAAAATTGAGCAAAACTGAAAAATTAAAAAATCGAATTCTTCATAAGGGTACCTACCCCCTTTGAATTCTGATTTCAAAATATTTAAACCTCAATTGCTCGGTAACCGTTGAGCAAATTGCATTAAAATTTTCGGAATTTGTAGCTTTTATTAAGTTCTAAATGGCCTGTAATTTACAATATTTCCAGATTTATAGTTTTTGAGCAAATTGAGTTTGAAATTTTTGACAAAATTTGGAATAAAAGTCAACTTTGAGGCTCAATTGCTCAAAAACTATTCGAGCTATCGAACTCAATTTTGCATAGATTTATAGAGAATTTAATGCTCTTTCCAATGATGTATAATTTATTTTAATTTGCTCAAAATTTACCTAAGATATGAGTAATTGATCATGACCATGTCAGGATTTTGAAAATTTTTCAGAGCCAAAAAAAGGATTTTTGAGCAAAACTGAAAAATTAAAAAATCTAATTTTTCATAAGGGTACCCTTTTTGAATTCCGATTTCAAAATATTCAAACTCTCATTGCTCGGTAACCGTTAAGCAAATTGCATTGAAATTTCCTCAACTTTGAGGCTCAATTTCTCAAAAACTATTCGAGCTATCGAACTCAATTTTGCACAGATTTATAGAAAATTTAATGCTCTTTCCAATGATGTATAATTTATTTCAACTTAAAATGTTTCAACATTCTAACAAGAAATCTACAGATAGAAAATTGATCAATCGGCACTTTCATTACAATCTAATAAATATATGAATACTTATATACAATTTTTTTTTTAGTTGGTCATCCTATGGAAGTTCCCAAAATTGAAAGTCCCACTCACGAGCAAGTAGAGGAATACCATGCAAAGTTCAGTAAAGTTCTAGAGGAAATGTTCGAGGAACAAAAATATAATTATTTAAAAGAACCAGAAAATAAAAAATTGGTTATCCTATGATAAGTAGTTTGTGAAGTGGGTGCAAAGTTAAGACTGTGTTTATTTACTTAGATGATAATTGTTCAGTGGTGCCTTTTGTTGTTTTTCTTTTTTTTACTTTAATATATTTGTTACCAGTTGTATAATTTGCCTTTTTTTTTCAACAATAAGCATCTATATCCAAACATTGAATTGAATAAATTATACTTGACTGAAATATCTATGAATAAATCTTATCTACAATTAATAAATTAAGATAACATTAATAAATCGAATTGTATAACAATTCAAAATTACTTTAACAAAAATGGAATTTGTACGAGCACCAACTAAATTATTGGAAAAAATAGTTGCAGGAACGTGCTTCTTGTGGATCGCTTTAGGCGGTTTGCCTTGCATAATTTTCACCATATATCTAATTCTATATACGAGATTTTGGATCGAAGCTGTGGCCTATTTGGTGTGGATCTTTTTGTGGGATAATGATGCCAAAATTACTGGAAACAGACGATCGCAATGGTTCAGAGATTTGAGGTAAGTTACGTTGCCTCTCTATAGATTTTAAATATATTTGTGTGCATATAGTGTTTGGAAATATCTGACACAATATTTCCCAGTTGGAGTGGAAAAATTACCATGGGTCGAGCTGGATCCAAAGAAAAATTATCTGTTTTGCGTGTTTCCTCATGGCATGATATCGTTTGGAGCTATTTGTGGATTTGGTAAGAACAAGTTTCTACATCAACAACTATTATAGAATTTTCTTCTCATGAATAAAGACTTGTTGGTGTCTGAGTTATATCCAGAAGTCACCTCTTGTGGATATAAAAATGGTATCAATTCTAGGTACAAGTTATGGCATGTTCAAATCGTTTTTTCCTGATCACGACTCATTGTTGGTAACACTTTCGCAGCACTTCAGTGTACCTTTCTTCAGAGAAATGATTTTGGGTTTCGGAGGTATTTCTTGTGAAGCCAAAGCCATCGAAACTGCTCTAATACACCCAGGAGGCGGACAAGTTTGCGTTCTGATGCCTGGCGGGGCTCGGGAGAGTTACTATTGCAAGCCTGGACAATACAAAATTTTATTAAACGAGGTAAAAATTTTTGTTTTAGTTTATTATTAGTGATTTATTGTAAATTGTAGCGTAAAGGTTTCGTCAAATTAGCACTGAGAACTGGTGCGCCATTGGTTCCGGTAATTTCCTTTGGCGAAACTGATCTTTTTGATCAGTACGAGAACCCAACTTTAAGACAAGTGCAAGAGATTATAAGAAACTGGACTGGGGTGGCACTGGCGGTTCCTATCGGTAGAGGATTTTTGGGTTTGGTTCCTAGAAGGAAACCAATTCGGGCAGTTGTTGGTAATCCAATGGAAATACCGAAAATTGAATTTCCCACTTCAAAAGATGTGGAAGAGTATCATGCCAAATTTGGCAAGGCAATGCAAGAGATGTTTGAAGAACAAAAATATAATTATTTGAGTGTCGATGAAGCAGAAAAAACACATCTAGTTCTTGTGTAATCATCAGTAAATTGATACTAAATAATATTGACTTATTATTTCAATTTACATTTCCCTAAATTTTAATTATTATTCACCGCCATCATATGGTACTACCAAATCAGAGTAGAATCTTTAATTTTTTTTTCAAAATATTTGTTTATTTGCAATACTGGCCTTTGAGAGGAATAAAAAATATACTTAATAACAAAAATAGTACTTAGATTAATATGTAATTTGTTTTTCTTTTTTTTAATTTAATTATAATGTTCGTTCAAAGTTAATTTGAATAAATAAGCTATTTATTCATAGTCAGATAGTGTGTCTTTAACAGAGTTGTTTTTATCAATAAATATGTTTCCAATATTTGCAGTTTTAATTGGATGTTTAATAATTTTTTATGTAATATTTCTATGGAACAAGTGGAAATATGTAAAATTTTCTTGGAAAGTAAACGGTTTTTTTTCGCTCGTCTTACCATTTACCGGAAACACTTATATATATTTATTAACTGGCAAAAAAAGTAAGTATACGTACTTATATAAATATGTCCAATTTAGTTACATCATTCATAATTTTTTCTAGTAAGTCCAATTAGTTTGGCCGAAATAGGTCGAAAAATTGTTGGATTTCCATTAAGCGTTTGGTTCGGACACCAATACCATTACGTCACCAGCGATTTAAATGATGCAAAAATATTACTGACCCATCCTAAATGCTATGAAAAAGCCGCGATTTATGATAATTTGAAATTTTTTTTCGGAGATGGACTTTTCCTGGCATCTTGTAAGGCAGACAATTTATTCAATCACTTATTCGCTTACTGTAACATTTAAGATGAATTATGGAAACAACACAGACGGCATTTTGGTAAAAGCTTCAAACCTAATATGCTCAAAATGTATTTTTCAAGCCAATACAGGCTAAGTTGTAATCTAATTCAAGAGCTCAAGCAGGAAAAATGTCTTGAAAACATATACGAGTATTTCTATCTATATTCTTTCAACAGTTTCTTTAGTAAGTAATTTATTTGTTTTATTTGAAAATATGTAAGTATTTCTGTTTTTTAGTAAGTGCCCTGGGGCTTGATGAAGACGAAATATTTTTCGACATACGTCGTTTTGGTCAACTAGAGAGCAAGTCAGTTTATTTTAATCTCAATTTAATCAAATTATATTATATTTTATAGAGTTCAAGAATTATTGGTAGGATTATTATTTAACCCATTTGTCTCACCTACAATTTGGACCAAATGGTTTCCAGCAGGAAAAGCAGCAGATAAAGTTATCAATGAAGGAATCCCCTTTATTACGGAAATTATCAAGAGAAGAAAGAAACAACACAAAGATATTCTTTGTAAGATTTTAAATATTGATTATTGATTATGTAATAATTATTAATTTTTTTTAGCCTATGTTGAAAATAGTAATGAAGTTTGCCTAATAGATTTGATATTAACAGACTACAATCAAATTTCAACTGACAGACAAATATTTAATCAAGTAACTTTATTTTCCGCTGCAGTAAGTGTATAGCTATAGAGAAAATATTATGTAATTAATTAATGAATAATTTTTATATAGGCTACTGAAACTACAGGATTTGCACTAAGCTGTTGCTTTATTTCATTAGCAATTTATCCAGATATTCAAGTATATATGTACATGTACATATAAAACAAAAATAAATTTAAATTTATTACAGGCAAAAGTCTACGAAGAAATAATAGATACAATTGAGGATTCATATGAAGACATTTCAAATCTCAAGTATACTGAAGCAGTGCTTTGGGAAACTCTAAGGCTATTTTCACCGGCTCCGTTTATAGGCAGAAAATGTGACGTAGATATAGATTTAGGCGACAAAGTGCTTCCAGCAGGTGCTTCGTGCCTCATAAGTGCTTACCATATTCACAGAGACCCCACAAATTGGGTCGAACCTTTAAAATTCGACCCTTCAAGATTTCTTCCAGAGAATCAGGCTAAAATAAAACCGTATTCTTTTCTAGGATTTTCTGCAGGATCAAGAGATTGTATTGGTATTTATATTTGTATCTAACAAAAATATGTTTTATTGAAATATTTGTTTGTAGGTAAAGCACAATCGATGCTGCTAATGAAAATGACTGTTGCGAGTGTTGTGAGGAACTTCAAAATAACCACAGATTATAAATCAATTGACGATATTCAACTTGAATCTGCCATTACGATGCGGCTTGTTGATAATTGTAATTGTTATTTTGAGCCTAGGAAATAACACTTGTTTAAACATAAAAAAAATTATTCTTGTTATTAATAAATACCTATTTACAGAAAAGAAAAAGACATTCTAATTAATTTATTTATAACATTTCAAAAACCTTTTTTTGTTCTTACTGGCAACAGCGTCTCTTTGGCGTAGGTGAATAATGTTAGGAGGCCAGATTTGTTCCTTTTGGAGATGATGTAGTTAGAGACGACATCTGTAAATAACAACATTTAAGTTGATGAAAAGTTCAGTGTGATCTATTATAAATGTCACCCCCTCCTAATTTTTTAATTTGCCGTTTTTGACAGAAATGTCAGAAAGTAGACGCACTTTAAGCAGGTCCTGAATTTCAAATGTACCCGTATCCGCATCGCTCTGCGCAACATAAGTCAAATATGTTACCGGAAACGCAACGGAAGAGAGTTGAGAGTTGGTTATCTCTTAAGTTGTGTTTCCGGTAACATATTTGACGCAAATAACTTGCGTTACGTCCATTGTAAAATCGGCTTCAAGCCCATTTGTATAGCAATATTTTTGTAACAATACTGAATTTGTTGTAGCAACAAGTCGTTAGTAGGTTTGGGGCAAGATTCAAATTAATTATTCTTGTAGCAACTTGGAAAAGAAGTGTAGCAACACTTCATTTGTGTAATAGCACAAGCTCAAAACATGAAACAACACTAAGGAAAAAATGTAGCAACACTTCTTGAGTATAAGTGTAGCAACACGCGTTTTTGTGTAGCAACAAGTCATTTGTGGAATAGTTTTTGTTCAGGACAAAAGTTTGTTGAATTTCTTATGTAGCAACACGAAAAAAAGTGTAGCAACACAATTTTTGGGAGTAATTTTTAGTAGGTTTATAGCAAAATTTCAATGAACTTAAGTATTAAAGTTTTAAAAAAAGTGTAGCAACACGAGCAAAAGTGCAGCAACAAGTCGTTTTGGGGGTAGTTTTTTTAGTGGGTGGGATTTTATGTAGCAACACTTGTTATATAAAAATGTATTGAATTCGTTTGTAGCAACATTTAATTTTAAAAAAATAGTTTCCCGTCGGGTTTGGAATTCGAATTTTGCATTTTCCCGGCTTTTGATTGGTTTGGGAATTTGAATTTTGATTATTCCCGGCTTTTGATTGGCTTTTTTTCTGAATTTTCCCGGCTTTTGATTGGTTTTCGAATTCAATTTTCAATCATTTACGGGTCTTGACTGGCTTAGAAATTCAAATTTTGAATATTCCCGGATCTTGATTGGCATCCAAAGCCAGTTTTTGGGTTTAAAATTTAAATTTTAAACATTCCTGGCTTATGATTGGTTTAGAAATTGAATTTTTGATTATTCCCGGCTCCTGATAGGCTTCAAATTTCAAATATATTCCCGGCTCTTGATCCGCTTCCAAAATCAATTTTCGAATTTTCTCGACTCTTGATTTGGTTCAAGATTCAAATTTTGAATATTCCTGGCTCTTGATTGGTTCTGAAATTCAAATTTTGAATATTCCCGGCTCGTGATTTGCTAAGAAATTGAATGTTTGATTATTCCCGGCTTTTGATTGGCTTATTTCTGAATTTTCCAGACTTTGGATTGGTTTAGGAATTGAGTTTTTAATCATTCTCGGGTCTTGACTGACTTAGAAATTCAAATTTTGAATATTCCCGGCTCTTGATTGGCATCCAAAGCCAGTTTTTGAATTTAGCTAACTCTTAATTGGGTTTAAAATTCAAATTTTAAAAATTCCCGGCTCATGATTGGTTTGGAAATTGAATTTCGGATTATTCCCGGCTCTTGATTGACTTCAAATTTTGCATATTCCCGGCTCTTAATTGAGTTAAAAATTCAAATTTTAAATATGCCTGGCTCTTGATTCACTTCCAAAATCAATTTTCGAATTTTCCCGACTCTTGATTGGGTTCAAGATTCAAATTTTGAATATTCCTGGCTCTTGATTGGTTCTGAAATTCAAATTTTGAATATTCCCGGCTCATGATTTGTTTAGAAATTGAATTTTTGATTATTCCTGGTTTTTGATTGACTTCAGATTTTGAATATTCCCGACTCTTGATTGGATTAGAAATTCAAATTTTGAATATTCCCGGATCTTAATTGGCTAAGAAATTCAAATTTTCAACCCGATCAAGAGCCCAGAATAATCAAAATTTGAAACTTGAACCCAATGAAGAGCCGGGAAAATTAAAAAATTGACTTTGGAAGCCAATCAAAAATTGGGAATATTTAAAATTTGAATTTCTGAGCCAATCAAGAACCGAGAATATTGAAAATATGAAACGAATTAAGAGCCGAAAAAATTCAAAAATTAATTTTGAAAGCCAATCAAAAGCCGGGAATATTCAAAGTTTGAATTTCTAAACCAATCAAGAGCCAGGAATAATCACAGTTTGAATTTTAAATTCAATAAGGAGCTGGGAAAATTCAAAAATTGACTTTGGATTCCAATCAAGAGCCAGAAATATTCAAAATTTGAATTTTTAAGCCAATCAAGAGTCAAGAATATTCAAAAATTTGAAGCCAATCAAAAGCCGGGAATAATCAAAAATTCAATTTCTAAACCAACCATGAGTAGGAAATATCCAAAATTTGAATTTCAGAGCCAATCAAGAGTCAGAAAAATTCAAAATTTGGATTTTAAACCCAATCAAGAGTAGGGAAAATTCAAAAATTGTTTTTGGAAACCAATCAAGAGCTGGGAATATTTAAAATTTGAATTTTTAAACCAATCAAGGGCCGGGAATATTTAAAATTTGAAGCCAATCAAGAACCGGGAATAATCAAAAATTCATTTTCTAAACTAATCATGATCCAGGAATATTCAAAATCTGAATTTCAGAGTCAATCAAAAGCCAGGAATAATTAAAATTTGAATTTTAAACCCTCGTTTAAACCCAATCAAGAACCGGGAAAATTCAAAAATTGATTTTGGAATCCAATCAAGAGCAAAGAATATTTAAAATTTGAATTTCTAAGCCAATCAAGACTCGAGAAAATTCAAAAATTAACTTTGGAAGCCAATCAAGAGCCAGAAATATTCAAAATTTACATTTTAAACCCAATCAGGAGCCGGAAAAATTCAAAAATTGAATTTCAGAGCCAATCAAGAGTCAGAAATATTCAAAATTTGAATTTTAAACCCAATCAAGAGTAGGGAAAATTCAAAAATTGTTTTTGGAAACCAATCAAGAGCTGGGAATATTTAAAATTTGAATTTCTAAACCAATCAAGGGCCGGGAATATTTAAAATTTGAAGCCAATCAAGAGCCGAGAATAATCAAAAATTCAATTTCTAAACCAATCATGATCCAGGAATATTGAAAATTTGAATTTCAGAGTCAATCAAAAGCCACGAATAATTAAAATTTTAATTTTAAACCCTCGTTTAAACCCAATCAAGAACCGGGAAAATTCAAAAATTGATTTTGGAATCCAATCAAGAGCAAAGAATATTTAAAATTTGAATTTCTAAGCCAATCAAGACTCGAGAAAATTCAAAAATTAACTTTGGAAGCCAATCAAGAGCCAGAAATATTCAAAATTTAAATTTTAAACCCAATCAAGAGCCGGAAAAATTCAAAAATTGAATTTCAATGCCAATCAAAAGTCAGAAAATTCAAAAATTGAATTTTTAACTCAATCAAGAGTAGGGAAAATTCAAAAATTGTTTTTGGAAACCAATCAAGAGCTGGGAATATTTAAAATTTGAATTTTTAAACCAATCAAGGGCCTGGAATATTTAAAATTTGAAGCCAATCAAGAACCGGGAATAATCAAAAATTCATTTTCTAAACTAATCATGATCCAGGAATATTCAAAATCTGAATTTCAGAGTCAATCAAAAGCCAGGAATAATTAAAATTTGAATTTTAAACCCTCGTTTAAACCCAATCAAGAACCGGGAAAATTCAAAAATTGATTTTGGAATCCAATCAAGAGCAAAGAATATTTAAAATTTGAATTTCTAAGCCAATCAAGAGCTGGAAATATTCAAAATTTGAAGCCAATCATGAGTCGGGAATAATCGAAAATTCAATTTCTAAACCAATCATGATTCGGAAATATTCAGAATTTGAATTTCAGGACCAATCAAGAGTCAGGAATAATCAAAATTTGAATTTTAAATCCAATCTAGAGCCGGGAAAATTTAAAATTCGAAGGCAATCAAGAGCCAGGAATGATCAAAAATTCGATTTTTAACCCAATTAAAAGCCAGGAATGATTAAAAAATTGAATTTTAAACCCAATCAAGAAAATTTAAAAAATCTATTTTTAAACCTCAAGTGCCGGGAAAATTTAAAACATTCAATTTTTAGCCCAATCAAGACCCGGGAATGATTAAAAATTGAATTTCTAATCAAATCAAAAGCTGGGAAAATTCAAAAATAAGCTAATCAAAAGCCGGGAATAATCAAAAATTCAATTTCTAAACCAATCATGAGCCGGAAATATTCAAAATTTGAATTTCAGAGCCAATCAAAAGCCAAGAATAATCAAAATTTGAATTATTCTCATCTTCTCTTACGTTGCGTTTCCAGTAACATATTTGACGCAAATAAATCCAATGTGCGCATGCTTAGGACTTATGTTACGTCTTTACGGTTACGTTACCTCCATTGTAAAATGGGCTTTAGTTATCACCACCTCCGTAATTCATAAAGCCTGGCTCAGTGAAAACGCTTGGCTTTTTATGTGACTTACGGCCATTTGCACCGCTATAACTTAAGGGATATTTAATCCAAGTGGAGCTTTGAATGTGACTCTCGTAGAAACAAAAGTCACATTCAAAAGCTCCACTTAAATTAAATATCCCTCAATATCCCTTAAGTGATAGCGGTGCAAATGGCCAAAAGCCGAGCTTTTCCACTAAGCCAGGCTTTATGAACTACAGAGAATATGGCCCTAAAATAACTTTAACAACATAAACCAGTACTTGCAGATGGAAAGAAAACCTATGAACACAAAGTGTCTATTATCAAAAGTTTTCAACAGTCAGTTTCAAGCATGCAGGGTGAGTCAAAAAAATGTAGCAGAGCGAAGTTATATTTTTTTAAATGGAAGATCATAATATTATATTGTGCTATAAAAGAATATAGCTTCGCACTGTGACAATGTATGTTTGGTATCGTTTCTTTTGTAATGAGTCAACTTTTATATGTAAGAAAAGCGAATGTCATTTTTATTTTTTTTTTCTATATTGTTGCGTTGCGTATTGTACGAGATTTTATATTTTTGTCTGTGTTTCATGCGTTGGTAAAGACTTGTTTTTTCGGTTTTTTGTTCTTTTATTCTCTGTTTCAACTGAGTAATGTTTTAATTTTCAATTTTAGTGTTAGTTTTAGACTTTATTTTAGTACGGCTTTGTCAGCAACATTTTGTTGTAAGACAATAAAGCTATCTTTGACTTTGACTTTGACTTTGCACTGACTACACTTTTCTGATGCTTAAAACTGACTTAGTAAGAAGCTTTTGATAATTTCTCAGAACTTTTGTATTTGACACTTTTGTCAAAAACGTCAAATGAAAAAGTTGAGAGGGGGTGACATTTATAATAGATCACCCTGTACATGCAATGGTTTTTTCTATGACTGCATTCAAAAAACTACAAGCTACTCTTTTGTACTTTTCCTTTCAGGATCTTTATTAAAATTGAACAATTGGTTTCTAAAATGAAATAGTTTTGCTGTAATAGGTAAATTTAGGTATATGTAATCCCAAATTTTTTTCATTACTCTTCACATAACCCCTGAAGGGGGGGGGAGTCAATATATACAGGGTCCCAACTACACTGTTCCAACCAACATGAGAACCGTTCTTGAATGGTAATTTCCAGTCGATCAATCTATTTCTCAAGTAGATAGCTACTGGTACAGAGTCTCTCCCTATACAGGGTCCCAACTATTTCATAGGAACAGTATTGCTATCTCGGGAACAGTTAAAGAAGTTACGAGGGCGTTTAAATTAGAAAAAAAGTTGTCATTTTTGAAGAATATTTAAAATATATTTTCGTTGTTGCCAAATTTCTATTAGTTTCTCAAATACAGGGTGATTTTTGAAAATATGCAAAAACAATTTTATCAAATATTTTAAAATCTATTGATTTTAAATATATAGTTCATACTCAGAAGTATTATTTTTTTCATATTCTTCAAAAATGGCAACTTTTTTTCTAATTAAAACGCCCTCGTAACTTTTTCAACCATTCCCGAGATAGCAATGCTGTACCCTATGAAATAGTTGGGACCCTGTATAGGGAGAGACTCTGTACCAGAAGCTATCTACTTGAGAAATAGATTGATCGACTGGAAATTACCATTCAAGAACGGTTCTCATGTTGGTTGGAACAGAGCTATATAGCTAAAAATGTCATGTAAAGTAGTGAAAACTTTTGCTGTGTTATCCTGATAATAAAAGTCTTTAGCTTGTATGATAATATCTGTTTGTAAAAACATTTTTTTTCTTTGCAGTCCTAGAAAAAAATTTAGTTATTCTATAATAATAACATCTTGTGTGAAAAGGTTTGAAAATAAATATCGTACCCTACCTGAATGGTCAGCTGTAGTTGGTAATATGTTATCATTAGCTGACAAGGACACGAACAATGCAAATGGCACTAACCACAAATAGAGAGTGAAATAGGCAATCACCTAAAAAATAATTACATTTAAATTAGATAGAATCATACAAACTAATACAAAACCTACCTCAGAAAATGGATGGTATGTAGAAGTAAAGTAACTAAATGCTAAATAGTGATTGATAACAACAAATATCACTGCAAATATGAAAAAGGGTGACGTAAAGGCCACATAAGGAAAGTTAGAAAGTATAACGAAATGGCAAACTTGAGCTAGTATTCCGCAAGCTATCAGTGTAGATGGAAAACTTTCAAAGAGCCACAGTAATACATAGAGCAAAGTAATTATCTAAAAATTGTAATAAATAATAATAAGTATTGAACCTAAATTCATTTGTACATACTATATTCATCCACCAAATAATTTTTTTAGCATAGCTTGAGTATTCTTCAACCAATTCTGCTAAGTAATAGAGGCCAGCAGCTACAAATAATGTAAAACAAGGATTTTTTTATTATATTATGTTTGTACGAATGTTACCTATTGAAATTGTTATAAATATAACTTGTACTAGTATAGAGAAATAACAAATTAACGTTAAAAACCACATTTTAGAAAGATTTTTCTTGTTTTTGTATTCGGAACCATTTGTGAGGTTATGTTTTTGTTTTGATTGTTTGACAGCCTTCAAGGAAAAATCGTAGTGGGCTTCTGTAAATTGTAATTTCACTTAAAAAGACTTAATTTTGAGTTAAAATAGGGTCAGAAATGTAATCAGAGACTCAGAAAACTGTGAGGCAATGTAAATTAGTACTCAGTTATTTATTTTGTTGGTAAAAAATTAAAAACCAAAACTATCAGCGCCACCTATAATCAGCCATTGAAATCAATAGATATTCAAATTTATTGAATTCAAAATTTGGGAGGGAAAAATTGCGGTAAATGATTACCTTTATTAATTCCATTATAAATGATTGATCTTTTTGCTTATTCACTCTATATTTAATTTTTAATTTGTTAATAGATAAATATGTTCAATCTTCAAATATTTTGATAGTCTTCTTATAAACTACAGGGTGGAAAATTAAAAAGGATGCACCTGGATTTTCTCGAAAATTTTCAGGAAATTAAAAAAACACCGAAACACGTGGATTTTGTTTGCAAGGGGGACACTTTTTGGCTATTTCAAAATTTTTCTAGATTGCACCCCCTTACCGGGGTGAGTTGCACCCTCAAAAGTTGAATAGGGGAACTGGGTCGAGTGGTACCTTCTTTGAGAGGTATTTAAGATGACTTTACAGATCTGTAATTTATTTCGGAATCTGACAACTAGTTTTCAATATATTCGCCTCGGAAATTGCCATGGGGCGAAAAGAGAACGTGTTTTTTCGTACATTTCTAATTTCTACAAGAGAAAAATGAAATTCCTGAAACACGTCAATTTTGTTAATTTTGAACGTTTGTTTCTTTGTCAGTTTGAACCTTTTGAACAACCTTTCAAACATGACCCACTTTTCATTTTTTCACGAAAAACACGTTCTCTTTTCGCCCCATGGCAACTTCCGAGGCGAATATCTTGGAAACTAGAAGTCAGATTTCGAAAAAAATTACAGATCTGTAAAGTCATCTCAAATACCTCTCAAACAAGGTACCACTCGACTCAGTTTCCCTATTCAACTTTTGAGGGTGCAACTCACCCCGGTAAGGGGGTGCATTCTAGGAAAATTTTGAAATAGCCAAAAAGTGTCCACCTTGCAAACAAATTCGACGTGTTTCGGCGTTTTTTTAATTTCCTGATAATTTTCGAGAAAATCCAGGTGGATCCTTTTTAATTTTCCACCCTGTATAAGTTGACTGTATAATCTGATTAGTGTGTGCATCTAAGATTAACAGATTATTAAAAATATAATTTGTAATACCTATATATAATTATGAAGTCCACTCATTTCTATTAATAGGAAATAGGTAATAAACCAGAGGAAAATATTTGGAGAGTGAATGACAAAATAGGAAACTCAAAATCATGATTATTTTATATTTCCTATTTCACAGTACATTCGAACTAGGGTTGCCAGATACTTGAGTTTTGAAAATAGGAGAGCCTGTATAAAATTATATGAGATTGGATAATTATATACCTATGAGAATATTTTATATACTACAAAATTACCCAAATCCGAAAAAGCTCTTATCTTGACAATTAGCTATGATTTTTAGCAAATTTGGAATGTATTATTGCTGAACATTCATTTAGGTAGTTAAATACTCCTCATGATCCGTCAGTCTCATTTCTTATAACAAGTTGTGGAGAACACCTTGGGTTTTTTGATGTTTAAACAAATCCCTGACCCAAAATCGTTTTTTTTTTTTTCTGTTTTTACTTTTATTTTTATTTATTATGTACAAATGCGACAAAAGTAATATATTATTATTCGACGACGTCGGTAAAAAGATGAAAATATTCGGATAAAAAGTGGCGGGAAATGTTTCAACCAATAGGAGCTCCGTCGTACATTGGACAGTCGGATGGAACGCATGAGATTCCATCCTATCACATGTAATTCAATTCAATTCAATTCAATTCAATTCAATAGGCTTTATTGTCAAAAAATACAGAATTTTTATAGACAATGGGTGGTATGAATAAAAACGAAGTACTTGCTACTACTCCCAACTAGCATCAAAGTTATAGAAACCCTCACTGATCGACACTGCTACTATGATTGGGTAAAAAAATAGTAATTGGTACCAAATAACTTACTATGAAGTTTAAACCTTTAGTAAGTTAGAAGAATTAGTGGAACTTCCGTAACACTTACCCAATTTGGTGACTATATGGTGTCATTACATTGTGGTAAGTTTCAGGGTTGCTGGAACCGTGGGGCGTCAAGGTTTAGCTACTTATTCGACACCAAAACTTTAAAGTAACAAATAATTGTCACCGTAACGTGAAAAAATCAACTTTTGAGTAGGCGTGACTACTAAGTGTTTTTGAAGGTAACCACAACCGCAGAGGGACAATAGAAAACACTTTAGAGTTCGCCACTTCCAAGTAACATTGTAAGGTAACGGATTCGTGAACGCCACTTATGTATAGGTAAATTCTACTTTAACGAATCTAGAGGCAACTTCAACGTAGCATTGAATAATTTACGCCATGTTTTATAGAAAATTTAAGACGCCATTTTTTGGAAAAACTTAATTTTGTATAAAAGTAGAAAATTCACGCCTTATATTATCTGTTTACTAATAAAAACCTTGGACTTTTATGATTTCTAATTAAAATGGACCTATTAAAAGTGCTAACTCCTTTGAATAAATAATTTTGTATTTTAGTATATCTTCTATTTTAAATATTTTTATCATCAAAATGTTTTAGTTTGAGGGCGCGTTGTTATTTTCAGATCTAGCATACTTGTCACAGAAAAATTTCACTCGTTTGGGTTTTAGCTGCTTGGGTACGAAAATCAAAGCCTTTCAATATTCATATAGGTACGTAATAATGATCAAGTAAACAAAATAAAGGTGTACATATTGTGAACTTAAAGTACTGGCTGGATGAACGGTAACATAATATACATAATTTTAGTTGAAAGAGAGAGAAAGATCAAATAAATATCTTCAAGGTTGAAGGCGCATGGGAAAAAGTCCCATTTTGGTTGATATTACCACACATTTACGGTTTCACAACGTTCCCGAAACGGTCTCGGGACGTAAATTAACAGTTCCGAGGACGATCCAGGCACGTAAACCTTACTGCAAAATCATTCCCCATTTTGGTAACAACGTGGTGAAGAAACGGTGCCTAAACGGTTCCCGATACTAGTAACGCCAACTTTAAAGTTCTCTTTGTAGTCGAGGATACGTAGCGGCGACTAAAATTGCTGGTTGGGCTACTACTACAAGTATTAGTATATTCTTCGTAGTATTTACTCCACAATGAAGCATTTCCTAATTTCCGGTAGTTTCAAAATGTAGTATCTACTTCGTTTTGGATTAAATACTACGTAGAACATACTAATACTTGTAGTAGTAGCAAGTACCGTAAAATGGGGTTACTTGGGACAAATTCACTTCCATTTTTTCAATAATGAGGTAATTTATCAGAGTTTTTAGGAAGGCAGAGCAACAATTCCTGTGTATAAAATTTCTTTCATATGCATTTAACCTATAAAGCACCATAAATGGCTCCTACTGTAAGAACATTTTGTAGAAAAAAATAAAATATTCACTGTCCCAAGTTACCCCGCATTGGGGTTAGATGGGACTGTACCGGTTTTACACCGAAAATGCATGTTAAACTACTCAGGGGTTACTTGGGACAGCAGAAAAATAAAAATAATACCGCAGCACACATCTTGAGTTGAAATTTTTTGTTCAGCGAATTATTTAGAGCGATGAAAAATCTGGGTTAACATCAATTTATTAAAAATATTTATTTATTCATTATAAAAATATGCAAAATATATGCAAAAATACTTAAATTAAAAATAATGGTGGGTGTCAATCAGGACCAGGGAAATTATCTTTAAATCGTCTTTCTACAACACCCTTAATATCTAGATATTCAGTCCTATGATGTATCATTTTCTGTTATTTTAACAGCAACCTTAAGTTATCTGTCACTGTTTATTCTACACGTAAAAATAGAGACAGGTATAGATTTTGACCTATAACACAACTGTTAAAATAACAGGAGAGGATACATCATAGGCCTGATTGCTTCACAATGCGTCTTATTTCAAAGTGAGTTAAAGGAAATCCCCATTCAGCTGCTCTAATAAGTTCATCTTCTTCCGCTTTTTCCAGAACTGTAGGTCTTCCATATCTTCCTAAATTATGATTTTTACATCTTCTCTGTAAAGTTGATTTGTTTACCTTCCATTTGTCGGCTGCTATTTTATAGGACTTTCCAGATTGTACGTCTTCTATGGCACTTTTCATATTGTTTCCTTCGAAGGCGTGATATTTATTAGAACCTACTTTGCGAATATATTTTCTTGGCATGTTGACCCCTGAAAACAAAACGGATTAAATAACATGGGGTAACTTGGGACACGGCCTAACTTGGGACAATGGTTGTCCCAAGTTACCCAAAATCAGGAATTTTTTTGAAAAAATATTTCAAAATCTAAAAAAAATTGTCTAAAAGCGGGCAACGAAATTGGCAGTATTTAGAAAACATACAAAATTAACTAAAAAGTGTAATTGGACTTACCTGTTTACCTTTTGACTCCCTCTTCCAGATAAAGTTTTCGACCATTTATTTTTGCTTTGCTTCTCACCACCACTTATGTTTTTTTTTATACTTTTGAAATATCATTAATTTATAAAGAATTCATTAATTTAATCATCAACAGGTTGCTCTTCAACTAACCAAAACATTAAACTGAAGATATGTTTATATTTGCGTTGTTGACGCTAGTAAAATTAGAACATCCGAAGTTGCGTCCCGAGTAACCCCGACGTCCCAAATAACCCCATTTTACGGTACTTCGTTTTTATTCATACCACCCAATAAAGCAAAAATAGTGAAAGGTACCTAAATATTACAATTAAATGTCAAATGCTTAACTTGTACTAGTGGAAGTGTAAGTGTATACAATTTATAAAATAATTAAAATACAATTCATAAAATACCTAAAATAGTTAA